AGCATTTTGGTCTATACACATACATATATTATACATCCCATATAAGCAAATACAAATTAAAACACTACGGGCGGTCGCCTCGGCTACTCGAGGACGTTGAGATTTGAGTACTATAACGCATATGTTGGAAAACATTTGCAGTAGCATTAATAAAAAAAAAAGAAAAACAATTTGCAAAAATAAATTCTTTTTTTTTTTTTCTTTTGCTTTTTAGTTTTCAAATGAATTTTACTCGAAAAGTGTAAACAATATGTGTTATAGGTTTTAATTTTATTCCCCCTTATTGTCTAACGTGCATGAACACACTTATTTAATATGATTTCCTTTGTCACTGTCGTCATTTTTTTTTTTTTTTTTGATGAGTTTTTGTATTTAGTTACACAAAGTAAATTCATACTATTACGTATGTACAGATGTACAATATATATAACTATTTAACTTTTACATACTGTACCGTAAAAAGTGAGTCTAATAGCTTTGTTCTACTGTTCGCAACGGAGATAAAAATTTCCAAGAATAAATGATTAAATTCAGAGGCATCTTAACTTTGTCTCATTCTTAATTCATCATCAAATAATAATTTTATTTTAGCTATATATACTTTATTTTTCGTCTGTCTTAATCACTTTCTATTCATTTTTTACCTAACTATATATCACTCGGTATTCATCTTTTTTATGTTTCGAGCATTTTACATATCCGTCCGTTAATCTAATAAATATATGTCCAATTGTTTTTAACACGGTAAGTAAATTCCTTAGAACAAAACAATTCGTGTAAAAATGTGTACTTATTCTTTTTGAAAAACCGTGGTATTTCAAAAAAAAAATCGTGTAAAAAAAGAGTTGGCTATATTATAAGCAGATTTGCACACAATTGTTTGGTTTCAACGGTTTAAAAGTGTTGACTTCGATTTCAATGACAAAAAACGGTCTGGAAGACCAAAAAAGTTGGAAGGCAGTGAATTGCAAAACTTATTGAACGAAAGCCAAGCTCAAACTCTCAAAAAACTTTCGATAAGTTTAGCAGCTGATGAAGCAACTCTTTCTAGACATTTAATTGACTGAAAATTCCATTTCGAACCGTTTCGACATGGCGGTTTTATTGCCTTTCAGGAAAAATAAGAAGAGGTTTTTGTGGCGTATTGTGACTGGATCTGCTACGACAATCCCAAGCCTAAACTGTCCCGGATTAGTCCAAGAGAGCCTTTCCCATCGACACTCAAGTAGAGCCATAAAATTTTGCTGTGCATATGGTGCAATCAGCAAGGTGTAGTTTATTACGAGTTGCTAAACCCGTATGAAGGTGTTACTGCAGATGTCTGCCGACATTAGTTGAACAAATTAAACGATGTATTGTTGCAAAAAAGACCAGCAATAGCGGTTAACGGACGCAAAGTCATCCTGTTGCATGACAGCACTCGGCCACACGTTGCAAGAGTCATGAAGGATACACTGTTGCAACGCTACATCTCAATATTGAAATCAATTATTTTTATTTAATTTCATATAACTTTAATAATAACTGATTGAAACATTGAACATTACAGGCTACGACCAAAGTAAAATTTTATCGATTTACTTACTGAACTATTCAGAAATGGAGGTCAAATACTTTGCTTACTGTACATAAGTTTTGGATGAACGTAAAGTTTTGGATTAGGCATGCGCGTTTATTAAATGCCATTAATGCTGACAAAGTGACAGCAATTTCGGAAATAAGTCGTAGTATTAAAATCATATCTATGTTTACACAAGTCTAGTACAACCTGAAAGATATTAGAAATGTATTTTTTCAATCGACTAAAACTGATGTGCAGATGTCGATTAGCATGAGTATACGGATGAGTAGACGACTGGGTAAAAACCGCGACTATCAAGTTAGTATTGGCGGGTTCAAATTCCAGTGCGATAGAGTTTACTTAGGTCGAAGCTATAGTGAGTCCTCAATCGATAAAGACATAACACTTATCACTCGGGCGCACATCCACTAGCCTGCGGCTTACACCTCCCTATTTCTGTCTTTCTTTTTCTTTCGTCACTCTTTTCGGACCGACACCCCGTTACGCCAATAGGAGGTCACAACAAGGCAAAAAAACAGATTTCAATCAGCAACGAATAAGCCATCTGCTGTTGGTTTGCTGAATTTTCAAAGAAGAAGAAGAAGAAATTGATACGAAGTTAGCTTGAATATTTTCTTAGGTCTTCCAAGACTTAAGTGAGTGAATATATTTCAGCTCACTTACATCTGATAAGAAATCATTTCAGCTAACACATATTATTAATTAATTATTAATTAATTTCCTTTAACTTTTCGTTGTCATTTAATACTCATCAAAGGCATATAGTTCGTATTGTAATTGTAATTACCATATAGTTTAGTAGATAAGAAGCGCGACTATCAGATCGATATATCCGGGTTAACAGGTTCGCGGACGTGAAATTCTAAAAAGCCAATCATTGTTATTCACTTATATTTATATAAAGTTAATGCAACAAATATTACAAGTTGAAAATTTAATTTGATTTTGATTTTAATTTTGATATTCTGATTACCCTTGTAAAATATGTCTAATCAGATTTGTTCAGCTCAGTGAAATTTTTCACCTCTGTGAGCATATTAACATATTTTAATTATAATTGGCGTGCAGCGCCAGCTACAATTAATTCTCGATCAATAACACTTACTGATTGCTCGTAATCCCTAGACTGCAGTCACGCCTCATAAGTCTTTCCCCTTTTTTTTAACCCCTAACCACTGTATAACAGGAATCCCTTTAAACATTTGTCATAAAAAATAAAAAAAACGAATGCAGTTAAGAGGCACAGGTAGAGTATTCCGGAACTACATTACCAACACTGTTAAAATTTTAATGATTGACTTTGGTACCGTCAAGAAGAATTAAAATCAAAAATAGATAAAACCCCAAAATAAACGAAGATCGCCAAATAAGACCACTACCACATACGCCTTCCCCATTTTAAAAAATTGTTATTTTAATATAACTATTTCTTGGTGATATCCCATACGTATGTCATCCTTCAGATTCATCTCGCTTTAGTTTCACATAAAATAGATTTTAGTTATATGGGAAACCCTAAACTCATATCAAATATTTGGTGAAGTAAGCCGCCATAAAAGATGAGTTTCACGTACACGCTTCTATATGAAGTAGAAAATGGCTGGTTCTCCACGACGGTCAACTTTACTTGCCATTCAGGATTAATCGAGGTCTCAAAACAAACCTGATTTATGAGAAGGCTCATGCCGGGTCCCTGCGACTGTCGAATGCAGATCAGGCGAGTCAATTAATTTGATCGCCGTCAATAAAGACAGGGCCAATTAGACCGGGAAAACAGCTGGAATTAACTTATATACAATATTCTAGGTTTTTGGGAAGACAAAAGTAGAAGAAGACAAGTAAACCCCACAATTCGTCCATTTTTTTTTTTCTTTTATATTCAAAATTGAAATTCCTCAGCTTCATCGATCTGAACGGAATACTCTTTCGGAATGTCTGCATAAATTCCAATCTTTTTCGGCCAGTGTGCGGCACTTGATATATTTAACAGAAGCGTAAACGAAATGTAAGTTACGACCCATATCCAACATTGTACGAATTTATACACGGAAAGCAGATAGAGCTAAATCTTTGAAAGGTAAAATGCGACGGAAACGAAATCAAATAATGAAATATTTTATAAACGCCAAATAGGGTGAATAAGAGGCCAAGCGTACATTAAACTTGAGATGATTTACTTGCAGAATAAATTTGAACCCAAAAAAAAAAAAAAAAAAAAAAAAAAATGGAGGAAAAACTAAATTCTTTCATATGTCACTAGCAAAACGACAGAGTTAATCACTTCCCTTTTTAGTAACTGTACACTTACCGAATATGATATTCGCATAAGCGGATTAAAAGCTGTTTAAGGACTTAAAAATAAAAATATTTGTAAATGAAAACTATAAAGGCTCCAAGCAATCAATAATTGTATCGCATGGAATGGAGAAGAATTTTTTTTTAAATTTCACTACATTTTTTTTTTTTTTTTTGTTATTCAGAAAAAGAAACAAAATCTTGTACTTAAGAGCATTACTTTATATCCTAATAATTTAATACTTCATCTCATTTTATAAAAAAAAAAAAAAAAAAAAAAACGTCATATAACCATGTACTTATCTCGAGTATGGAGCATCACAGCTATTTATAATTAGTTATCATAATCACTTTAAAAAAAGTACTTATGATAATTTATAATTTTATTATCTAAAACATCATTAACGAACAGTTAAGTAGGAGTGTAGAGGATTCATTCATTTTAAAGGAGAAAAAGAAAATTCTCTTAAAAATCATTAACTTTAACAAAACATCACCATTAACCTAGTGGTGCATTGACTCCCATTCAATATGCGTACCAAGCAAGCCTGTCTGTTTGCATGACACACCAATACGGGAAAATTGTGCTTAAATATAAATAAAAAGCCTCTGTGTATGTTCAAAAGAATTATCCTTCTTTCATTAGGGCGTAACTACTCACATATCTATACATATGTATACATCCACATGGATGTTTCTCGCTATAAATAAATAATAAACCTGAAAGTTAACTTCGAAGAGCAACCGGTTAAACTCATAGACAGTCAGTCATTCACACGATGTTTAACAGTGAGTGACATGAATGGTTTGAAGTGCAATGACTTTTTCCTTTAAATTAAAAAAAAAAAAAGGACTATTGATTATATTTATGTGTAGGACTCGTCGCTTGTCATTATCGTTCCAACAAGCTTAACATTTCGTAGCGTAGCGTACAAAAGTTAACTGTAACTTGGACATTTATATGTGTATGTTTGTGCTTGCGTTCGTGTGTGTGTGTGTGTGTGTGTGTGTGTGCGCACGCGATACCGTCAATATCCGAAAAAAGTTCAAAAAACTCTTCATACATAGTTTGCAGGCGCATCAAAGTGATTCAAAGTAAAGTTTATGGCATAGTTTAACTTACGGTTTTTCTGGTATTTCACTTGATGTTTCCATTTTGTTCAAGAGTGGGCTACTGATCACTTGCGGACTGTAGACCCTTGGAGGACTGGTAACCTTTGGTGGACTATGCATCGATAGAGGACTCTTGGCTTGTTGCGGACTACGTATAATCGGTGGTGAGGGCATAGCTGGCGGGCTATCACCCTCTGGCGGTGATTGTAAACGGCCGCCGCAAAGTGTTGGCGATGAAATTTTTTGTGCCAAATTCTTTTGCGAAGCTGAAGGACTAGGTCTTGATGTATGAGAACGTATCGAACCTGGTGGACTTCGTATAGATTTCATTGAAGTAGGAGGAGAGGTTATAATTTCAGCTTTCGATGCTATCGAAACAACTGCTGATGCTATACTACCCGCTCTAGAACTTATACTTCCAACTGCGCCTCTTATACTACCACTACGGCTGGCAGGTTCTCTGCTTCCCCTGCGGCTACCGCTGCGGCTTACACTACGACTAGGAACACGACTACCGCTGCCTCCCCCGGCGCTAGTAACACTACTTTTACGTTTCGGAGAACCGGAAATTGTTGGAGTTGGTGTTGCTTGTGAAATTTGAGATATCTGAGAAGTAGGAGTACCGGGGATGGAAACTCTCTTGTCTTCCCCTTGTTCGAATTCACCCTCAATTAGTTCTTGTTCATCCTTCACTTGAGATGAAGGTGGTGCCGAGTCTTCATCCAAGTCCAAAGGTTTAGTTTCTGAGACTGGTGTCCTTGTTCTCATCTTTTCATCATCATCGTCGTCATCATCGTCTTCGGCTTCCTCCTCTTCAATTGGCTCCTGCTCCGGGCCATCCTCTAAACCTGGAGGGGGCGGAATATTTACTAATAATAATTCATTATCTTGTTGTTCAATTTCATCAATTTGTTCTGTATGCTGACCCAAAATAGAAGAACCTGAATAACCATTTGTAGGTGGCGTAGTAATCGTAGTAGATTCGTCATCATTTGCGGATTTAGTTTCTTCCGGCTCCAATTCTTGATTAACTTCTTGTAAAATTTCTTGCACCAAATTTAAAGAAGGAGCTTCAATCACCGCGGATAAATCGATAGCCTCCTCATCTTCGCTGCCTTCTTGAGGATGTGACTGCATTTTTTTTGTTAACTCTGCAAATTCGGGTGGCGGTGTAGACGTTTCCCTTTCTTCCATATCATATTCAGGAGGTGGCGGTGGTGTTGTTGCCATTGTGCTTTGTTTTGTTTTTTGTTTAGGAGGTGTTGGCGAGTTCGGTTGAGATTGATCACTTTCCGATGGTGGCGTTAAAGGAGGTATTTGCGAAACGTGAACAGGTGGCGGCGAAACTATTTTGGCCAAAGAAGTCAATTCTGGACAGGGTGGTGGCGTTATTGGGGGTGACGGGGAAATAGAAGGTGTACTACCTTGCATGGGCTGTGGAAGCTGATCGTCATCATTACTTGGACTATAGGAATATTGATTAGGTGGTGGAGGAGGAACACATCTATTTTCATCATTTTCTTCGCCAATATCAATGATCCCGTTAACACTTATAACATTCTTATCATTAGCAATTTCCATATTTTCAGGTTCCTCATCAGGTGTCTCCTCTATGTCAGCATCAGCCCCATCTTCGGCTTCGTCATCGTCTTCATCTTCGGTCTCAATAGGCGGCGAGGGAGGTTGAGGCTGTGCAGGTCTTCGTGCTGCGACTGGAGATATTGGTGGTGGTGGCATCATTTCTAAAACTGATGATGTAGGCGACACCGGAGGCGAAGGCAAATCATCATGTTCACTTAAAGTTGGTAATACCTGAGGTTGAGTCATAACTGACATTACTGGCGGCGGCGGCGGAGGAATACCTACATAATCCAATTCATCCACTATGGGCAGAGGTGGTGCGGTCGGTTCCTGTAATGCCGTATTATCAACCTCTTCTATATCTGAATCGATACCTTGAGCAAAATCCATATAAAAATTATCGCGCGAATCACTTGAGCCACGCCTCAATTTTAAAGATAGATCCGGCGAACTATCCATCTTAACACACTTTTAATCACAACGCACTATATCTATTTCCCACACAAGGAATCAGTATTTGATTACGTTACAATGTTTAAATGCTTTTTCGCGTTTTTACCGACACACGCGCACGCTCGTAAAAAAGTCATATAGGATTGTGCGATATAATCCTGCTATAGTACAGGAAATTTTTGATACTGCTTATATATTGTATGTTTATTGCTTTTCACGCATAATTATTACGATTTCCCACTTTAACTACCCAAACATGAACTAAATACGATTTGCATGCTTTTACTTTGTTGATCCTTTGCAGAAAAATTATTTATAAAACAAATGCTATTTATTACTCAGTTCTTAAATCCATACACATACATGTGTACTGGAAGAAATATTTTTATATGTATGTAAGCATACTTGTATTTCTTTTATTTTTATTACCAAACTTTCGCTTAAGTTGCACTTAAACATGAAACAACGTAACACATTATTTCCCACTTTCGTATAGAGTAAGTTTTGAAAAATAAAAAAAAAAATAAAAAACACAAAACAAAACAAATGACGAAGTTTATCGTTATAACCACCCTATCAGTTTTTCTTTGATGACTTTTTCCTTTTCTATTAGTAAATGGATTTGAAAAAATATACCAAGTAGTTCATAAACACTTATATATAATTATATATATATATATACATATATATATATATATATATATATATATGTATATCACTTTTGTATCTACTATGACTTGGGAATTTTATTTTAAAGCCTTTTTACCCTATGTTTGTGCTCGTATATATAAATTAGGATTAACAATAAAGAAAATTAATCAGTGACATCGATTAGGGTTAATAAAAAGAAAAAAAAAAAGCCCATGGATAGATGCGTTGGCATTGAATATGAAACGAAACTATAAAATGTGAGGAGTCTATTATAAATACCCATCTGTGTCTGTTCGTTTTAAATTCGAATTTTCAATACATTTATAAATTAGCTTTAATGTAATTGAAAAATTCAAATCGATTTGCGACAAAATATTTAGACGGAATATTAAAATTGTAATATACACGCGCTGGTATGTAATATTTATTTATTTAAAAGAAAAAAATTCTTTGTTTTTTTTTTTTTTTTTTTTTTTTAACAAGGGACAGCGCCATCGAAGAAATATTAATGATTATCTGCATTAAGAGCGATCAATCGGCGCTATACAAATATGAGCCGACTGTTAAGCCGAGTCTCGCATATCCACCACAATGTTTTTCCCATTCTACTCTCGAAAGTTCTCTTATTTGATACACATATCGCTCGTATTATTAAGAATTATATTATAGTCATTTGAAAATGAACCCATTTTTAGACCGATAATATATCTTCATTTGAGGAGTGTACAACATAGTTTTAAATGTTTTGTTTCATTTGCTTTATGATAAATAAGCACAAATCCTCAAAAAACTGAAAAAAAAAAAAAAAAAACATTAAATTAATTACTCGTAACTTTGTGTAGACACGGCCGTTTGATTCCATTTTTGGACCTAAAGAGTAAAGTGTCTCTCGTAAAGCAAATGTGAAAAATTTCAGCCTTCTTACTTTAACAATTTCCGAATAACGAGGAAAAATCCAAAGAACTTTGTTCAAGAAAACTGATTTGCGTTCAATTGACTCTCCATTGCGCGGTTTTGCTCTGATCAATTTGGCCTATTTTCAATGTCAACTTGCGTGCAAAAACTTCCAATGTTTGCACCAAATTTAAAGTCGATATCTTCATTTTTGCGATCAGGAGAATGCCAGCAACACGCATCACACAGACACACAGACGGACCGACATGACTAAATCAATCTAGAATTTCACGCTAATCAAGAATATGTATACCTTATAAGTTCTCTAAAGCTTCCTTTTGCGTGTTGCATATATTTTGGAAAAAAACAAAATAAGTATACACCCATCTTACAGTGGTGGGTGTAAAAATGAGTTTGTTCATCAACTTGCAACTTGCAGAATTAACTTGCATTTACTGCTGTGATCGAAAATCGTGATCATCAATAAACCATAAAGCAAACTAGGTCAGGTCAGACTTATGCAAGCTCTCACGGCAAAACTGCCGTCAAAGAGAATTTGACGAATCGGTTACCATGAAAAACACCATTCGCATCTTTTGCATCAATTGGGTGAAATATTTGAGAGAAATTCACAACCCTATACACAAAAAAAAAAAAAAAAAATGAGATGAATAGAATGGCAAAGGCTAAGATAAAATATATATATGAACACAAAATAACGCAGGCATTCATAACATCGTAAAAGCGAAAAGGATGGGAAACGCATCTATGGAATATCACCTATATAACCACGGAATACCGCGGAGTATATGATAGCATAAGAGAATAGGAAAACATTGAAAAAAAAAAAAAAAAATACAACTTAAGATAGCCGCATATGTCATAGCATAGTATCTATACAATCTTATGCTAGTTGGTATACATGTATGCGTTACGTTCTCCAATTTCTTTATTTTTGTAGGAAAATAGTGATAAAACATTGTAGTGATCATAGGAGAAAGCTTAGGATATCGGTTATTGCGAAATCGCTGCTATATGACCTCATGATAGGCACTGACGGATGAATATCATTAATAATCATTGCCAGCCTATCGATAAAATAATCCATGATTTTTCAAAAGCCTGCATTACGAAGGCATTTATTATAGTTTGTTTTGTTCGTGCGCTTCACGCTTCACGCTTTACGCTTTACGCTTCTCCATACGCTTTTGTAGCTAAAAAAGGTACGTTACATGGGCGTGTCGTTTAAAATCGTATAATGTGAAAAATTGAAAGAAACTTGAAAAATCGAAAATATCTTAACCTATTTAACAAAAGCAGAGGAATGAGAAAAACAGAGAAAAAAGAAACTACAGCCAACGTTTAATGAATATGCGATATTTTTTATAGTGAACGAACAACCTTATCGAACAGCTTCATTCGCTTCACACGAAAACGATAGTGTTAACAACAAACGACAAACGATTTCTGCTTCTGTATCATATGCACTATGCAGTTATTTCTCTCTACCTTCACTCTAAATGACAAAATCCTTTCTGTTAAACTTAACTTTGGAGGTATATATGCGAAAGAGCTAGGAGCACACATATCACAATTACAACAAATATTGTCACATACAATTGTTACATATATATATATATATATATATATATGTATGTACATGTACCCATTCTGTGTGAATAATAATTTTAAATGCAGCTAATACTTGGTTAATATTAAACTCCCTCCCATTCGTGATTATAATAACAAACACCAACAAATGCATATAACATGCAGCGTAGAAAATAACCAGCAAGCAGCCCGGCCAGGCAGCATCAGCACCTCTGCAAATCGTTTCGTTTCTTCGTTTTCGGGACAATACAGTATTCATAAACATACACATATATAAAATACATACATTCATGCAAACATATACACATGAGTATATATGTATTAAATTATCCGGCACATTGGTATGTACACCAAAAATATACGCAATTCTGTTTTTTTTTTCTTTTCTTTTCTTTTTTTAATATTTTTTCACAGGAAGTAATAAATTGAGAATTTTTTTCATTTGAATTACTTTTGTATTTAATACGATGATCACACGTGAGATTATCGTTATTTAGTGGATTTATTATTATCAGTAATTATTCCTTTTTTTCTACTTCTTCTTTTTTGTTTGATGAGATCTGATTTTCCTTTTTTCTTCTTTACTTTTTTTTTTTTTTTTTTTTTAAATTTTTTATAAAAAAATTTTTTTTTATATTAAAGCGAATATTTTTTTATTTTTTTTTTTTTCTGCTTTGCTCAAAACATTGGAATTTTTTTTTGTTGGCTTATTTTACATTCGAGAACAACCGTAGAACCGTAACGTGCCTTCTGCGACAACACTCAAATGCAGAATAACTCTAAAATGGTGCTCATTTGTTAGAAAACCTTTCCACATATAAATAAATTCAAATAATTTTTCTACCCAGATTCCCATAAATTATTTCCAGTTTTGCTTTCTCTTTTAGATATCGAACTCTCTCATCACTGATAAAAAAAAATTCTAATAAAAATACTCTCTTATATGCTTTTCATATCACGAATGGGACAAGCTTATAAAACACATGAAATATGAACATCGATAATTTGTCTTGAAACGGAAATGGAATTGTATAATAAGAGAGAGAGAGAGAAAGAGAGAGAGAGAGAGAGAGAGAGACAATTTAAATGTGTAAGAGATAACGAGGCGAAGAGAGTGATTGAGAAGCGAAGAGAGAGAGAGAGAGAGAGAGAGAGGGAGAGAGATGTATAAAGAAAGAGAGTATAAGCGAGTCAAAGATATAATAAACACTAATGGAATTTCTTATACTCTACGCGCTAAAAGTTTGTTTTTCGTTGTTTGTTTTGGTTTACACTTCTTTGTGGGGGTGTGAGAGTTTTATATGATGAATGAACATCAACACAATAAAAAGCACACACACCCGCGCGCATGCATTGCAATAGCAGCGCTTTTTTACTATCACTAGTAGTGATACTCTTTTTCAATGCTTGCGTAAATTAATTGTTGTCTTGAAAATAAAAGAAAAACAAAAAATGTAACTCAAAATATTCAATATCAATATTTTTAGTTTTTATTTTCAATAACTTTGTGTATACGTATAAAACATTTTGATAAAGTTTTTCATTTTCTTTTTTTCGTAAGATTTATCTTTACATTTTTCATTTTTGGTTATCCCCACCCAAAATTAAAAGCAAAAATAGAAAAAAAATTTTTTTTTTTTTTAATATAATACTGCTGCTGCTAGCTTTTCTCTTCTTTAAATCCACTTGACCTACATACATTTACACATACAAAATCGTTTTAAGCATTGCTTACTCCGTACTATATATAAATGAGTAGATAAACCCTATATCTCTTTGTTACAAAACACAATTAATTCAGTACATGGTGTCAAACACCTACTGTACCGTTATTAACGAAAATTGCGCCACTTACACTTTACTTTTCTGTGACTTTGTAGATATATAATAATTTTGTTTGCTTTTTATTCCAGGAACTGAAAGGACTCAACTCTCTTAGAAAACAAACTAGAGAGAGTGCAAGATGCTCTTTTTGCTTCCTTAAAACAATAAGCTTTAATAATAAGACGCAGAAAGCTTACAAGAACTTTTACAGAAATCTCAGTGCAACTAAACCGTTGAAGTTTTTAACCTTTGTAAGAATTTTAATACGCAAAAATCTCAAATATCAAATCAAACTTTTCGAATATGCACTAAAAAGACCTCGTAGCCTAATTTAAGTCCATAAAAGGTAAAAGCAAACAAATTCTTTTCCCAAATGTCCAACAATCATTAATGGCGCCCTTCAATTTTTTTTTTTTTTTTTTTGCGCTGCCTATGTGGCATAATGTTATATCTTGTGCTTAAATAACGTTAAAAGCGAACTAATCATAGAGATAATAAATTCGTAAGGAAGGCCATTTGCAGCATTTCCGCGGTTAACGGGATCATTCTTTTTTCATTTTTTGAAATTATAAAAACTACACGACGACTCGACAATTTTCAATCATTCGCTTATCATGTCAACTGCGCCGAGCTTAAAGTTCGATATTTCGTTAGGGGATTCTTCTAATAGTTACATTGACCATTTTGTCATGCTTTGTTATCTTATAGAAATCACATGTCGAAGGCATTTGTATATTTATTTTAAATTTTTATTTAAGAATTCTTCAAAATTTCATTACCGAGAGACAACTAGGCGCCATTGATAAATAAACATTGGGTTTATTAGCGAAGTTTGGGCATAACTGGCATGGGCTACCTCTACAGTAGTATATTTCATTTGATTGGAAATTTTGGAAAGTAAAAACAAAGCTTATCTTCTGACCGCATCTAACTTTAAGGACTACGTATCTATGCGCGAGAGATATATGTGTATGAAAGTGACTGTCTTCTCAAATCACGTTGCGATCAAATTTTAATTTCTATCAAGAATAAGTTACAAATTTTGAAAAAAAAAAATTCGCCTAAAAACATTGAAATTTGATTTTTATGAAAACAATGAAATGCTATTCCTTATAACGAATTATATCAAATTATATATAAACCCATAGTTAAATCTTTCAAGCACATTTCGCTTGCTGCTTGTGATTATTCTAACGATCGAATTGTGATTATTCTAATTTCGAAAATCGAAATCGAACGAGTCGAAAACGATATTGCAATTTTACGTGTAAAATTTTTTACGTATATTATTATATAACCTTCGAAAAATTCTTATATTCTTATCCGATAATTTCCTAAAAGAAATCATTCCTTTTTCTTTTCATATTTATACCAAAATTATTGCTATATTTACAATCGGTATATTAAAGTTTATTATGCACAACTCAAAATCGTTAGTTTGTTACGGCGTCTCATAATTTTCAGTTTTAATATCATTTTAATCCAATTCTTCGTTTTGGTCGTAGCTGCTCTCATATTTAACAATTTTCCATTTATCACCTGGCTCATCGATATCCAATGAAGATTGCACAAAACTATTACCAGCCGGGTCATCTAAAATTAGAGAAACCTCAGATTCTAAAGATATAACATCGTTGAATTTCTTTAAAAATTTCTGTAAACGCTCTTTAGTTATCTCATCCAAAGAATCGTGGAACATTAAGTCGTCATTTTCCAGTTGATCTTTCATGGCTAGCAAAATACCTTCAATTGTTGTGAAGCGACCAACTTTACAATCTAACTCGGGTATGCGTAAACTGCAAGTTTCCGATTTCAATACATCACGAGTTAAGTTCTCCTTTGCGGCTATAGTCACCTCAAAGCGTACCCCCTTTTCTTCTATGCCACCGCCAGACTTTACTTCATTAGTTTTACAACAGCAAACATCACATACAGTAGCCATAATTACGACTTCTTTAAAATGTAGTAGATTGGTAAACTTCACATTAGTTTTACAAGCCGAACGCCATTCTGGACACAAAGTGCGGAATTGTATAACTTCTCCATGCAAGTCTTCATAAGTCCAAGCTCCCTCGTCTAGAGATTTTAGTAAATGATTACCTTCAAGCTTACATATTTGTTCTATATCGTCTTCTGCTATATCCGTTTTATCATATACACCCAACAAATTGTTTTCCTCATCACTACGCATAAATTGAACGGTTTTACAATTACGATCTGCCGCCGGAGCATCAGGGTTCTCTATAAAACTGTTACCATTAATATTCTCAAGGTTTAAAGTAAATGAAGTTTTCAGTTCTTTCAAGGCGTTTGCAAGTTCTATGAATTCTTCCATAGCAGCAGCCGCATCAGAATGTTCAACTTTACGCTTCTATTGAACTTGGTTCAAGCCACGTATAGTTCGACCGATTTTACCTTCAACTGTAGTTATTGCACCTTTTTGATTTTGGGCTGGAATTTCCAATTCTACTTCCGGTATTTGTACGCAAGTATAATCGGAACGCACCACTCGTCGATTAAGATCCGTTCGTGTCTGCACATTCAAGGCAATGCCTATACCCCTCTCCTAAATTTCTGAAGCAAATTGTACTTCATTATTTTCAAAGCCGCAATATCCACATTTAGAAGACATCAAAACTGTCTCCTTGAAAAAAGGAATTTTTGTCATCAGCAGGCGTGTAACATTATAGCGGAAGCAACTCATGTGTGCGTATTCAATTTCTGTAGCGTCTGCAGCAGTGTCATTAGCATCGCATCATGAAACAATGGTTTCTTCAGAGTTTCGTCTACAGCTTCAATTCCTGTACTTACGCTTTCTATTGTAGGCGAAGACATATTTTTTATAATTCCCCTTCCTTTCTTTGCATTTTTCTCTACAATAAATACCACCTCTTCCAACGAACTGAATATGTCTATCAACAAAACAAAACTGTTAACAAGAAAATGTTGTAAATGGCAATCAGCTGGTTTTGTGGGACTGCTTAAAATAGTAGTAAAAAAATAGTGTTCACCACTACTAAACATTTTAATTAAAGTGGTAACGCTCTCAACATTCCCTTTCATATTCGCGCAAAAAATTGTTCAGCTTTGCTTTTATTGGTCAAGTCTTGTTCAGGAAGAACCAAATTAATTAATTGCTTGAAATGATAGAAGAAAACTCATCAAAAACTGCTCGGGTGCCATGGTAATCTCACAGATAATTATTGAATTGTGTATCTTATAATCGTAACACTTATTTTGCTTACATGTAGGGTAGAGAAATACCGACCTTCACATCTGGACGAATTGATATCTCACGAAGAAATAATATCGACAAGTAAATATAAATGAAATTTTGTGTATCACCAACCTAGTAAGATTCTCATTTTTATTCTAAGTTAATCGTTTTATTAATCAGAAACAGTTACCACATTTGCTTTTTTACGGGCCACCTGGTACGGGCAAAACTAGCACAATATTAGCATGCGCCAAACAATTATACACACCGGCCCAATTTAAGTCAATGGTTTTAGAGTTAAATGCTTCAGATGATCGTGGTATCGGTATTGTTAGAGGGCAGATATTAAATTTTGCCTCAACTCGAACCATATTCAGCGGTACTTTCAAATTAATTATACTGGATGAAGCCGACGCCATGACCAATGATGCACAGAACGCTCTCAGGCGTATCATTGAACGATATACTGAAAATGTACGATTTTGTGTTATTTGCAATTATTTAAGTAAAATAATTCCCGCCGTGCAATCTAGATGCACCCGCTTTCGATTTGCTCCATTATCGCAGGAACAGATATTGCCCAGATTAAATAAGATAATTGAAGAGGAAAAGTAAGCGCGTTTTAACATGTATATATTATGAAAATACCAATATTATTTGCCTCCTTTAGAGTTAACGTAACAGAAGATGGCAAAAAGGCTTTAATTACCTTATCGAAGGGTGATATGCGCAAAGTACTTAATGTTTTACAAAGTACCAGTATGGCTTTTGATACGGTCGATGAAAACAACGTTTATACATGTGTAGGCCATCCATTGCGCCGCGATATCGAAAAAATATTGGAAACCCTCTTGGCTACCAGAGATTTTGCACAGGCATACGATGGTAAAAAACGACAAATAATTTTGGAAAAAATTAATACTTCCTTTTTATAATTCTTTAGATATACAAAGCATCAAATCCGTTAAGGGTTTAGCTTTAGAGGATATACTTACCGAATTACATTTGTTTGTCATGCGACGTAAGTTTTTCCCTCGCTTAGAATATCTCACATTTACCTGACTTATATATAAATTCTTTTTGCATTTATTTTCAGTTGAAATGCCCATGAGTGTTATGAATAATTTAATAATTAAAATGGCTGCAATTGAAGAGCGCTTAACTAAGGGCTGTACAGAAGCACCGCAACTTACCGCTTTAGTAGGGGCTTTTTTCATTCATCGGGATCAAGTAACCCTTGAAACTTAATTTTAATTTATGCCATTGCTAACCCACTGGCATTCATTTTCTAAGCTTCAATTTGAGCTTAGATTATCTAGTGTATGTATGTAAAGCGATCATTCTTAAAGCAGTTTTTTTTTTTTTTTCTAAAGAGAAGTGTGTTTTGAATTCGTACCGAATAATAATTAATTATCATATTTCTACACTTTGTTCAAAAGGGTAAGTTTCACTAAGAATATTTATTATTTTTATATTTAACATGTTCCCTACTTAGACAACTTTCAAGTCTTAGAGCATTCAAATAATCCAAACTATTCATATAATAAATAGTCGTATCATACAAATTTTACTTAAACTTTATACAAAAAAAGGAAATACAACAATAAATAGTAAAAAAAATTTTATAAAATGTGAATACAGGATGACATTCTTGTAAAGTATTTAGAAAACATATGGATAAATCGCAACGGAGATATAATTTTGAAAACACATATACACTATGTATTGTGACTACTTTACTTAAAAAAAAAAAAAAAGAAACCCAACATTTTGCAGTGCCATCATAAGGCTAAAGTAATGTGTTTTATTAAAATAACAGTGAATAGATTCTCAAATTTTAAAATAAACCTTTCTTTAAAGAATGTATTTCCATTGGCAAATGGTAATACATATCTGCATATATATATATTACATATTTATATATATCTATATAATTAATTAACGCAGGACGACTCGAATTGCGTTCATGTACTGAAATATCAGGAAACACTAAAACGCAATAACATTAAAATTAAAGCATGCTTTCCCAATATCTGAAAATGAATTTTCAGTTAAACAAAGTTGACGTTAGCATAAAACAGTCAACTTTTATGGCCATAATTACACTTCACGCAGTTTCGAGTTTTTTAAAAAGTTAGAACATCATTCGAGACATACTCACCCTATGGAATAAAATATACATAAATTGGTAAAATGTATTTTTTAACACTGTCTCTCGCACAGCATTATAAGCCGGAGAAGACCGAATGTAGGTCTGGATGTGGTGTAGCCAAGGATATCTCATCGGCCCGTCCGATAAAGAAGGTCATAAAGGTTTCTGCGCGTATTTCTTGAGCATAACCGTTTGCGTGTAATTTTTTCATTATTTAGTACAACTATGCTGTTACACACAAACATGGCGGTCTACTTGGATCTCTTTACACAAAAGTGTCTGACTTTGACTTGATGATTAAAAGTATTACTTTCAGTTACATACATTTTTTAATCTTCATGGATGTATGTCGTTAGAGAATATTGATTTGAACGACTATGCAATACCTGAAGTTAAAAATCGTATACAATCACTTGTAGTTCCGTTAGCTTATTTTTATTCAAATAATAAAGATCTTTAATCATGATTGCAGGTAGGTAATGCATTCATTGGATCCAGATTCTACTGCTGAGCATGATGGAAGAAAAAAACACTATTGATTTGCTTCCAATGACATTTTCACCATTAATTACTAATGCTAGTTAATTATTTTTGACTCTTAAAAAAATTCGGCTTCCTATTGTGGAATAAACGGAAAAGCAATAATGCCATTCAACCTCCAACAATCTTTAAATGGAAAGAAACATTTTCGTTTGCGTTAACAAATAAGACTTGACGTCACATCTTGCATTGATATTAATGTAGCATCTATAAGATAATTCCAAATAAAAGAGAGAGATTTCTATATAGTTAACTGGTTTCGAATTTTGAAAAAGAGCCATAGCCAGCACCATTGCGATATATATTTTATCAACTATTAATGAATGAAAAGCAAAAAAGTGGAAGTTCTCTTACCATTATGCAGTAGTACAATAGAGCTTTTGGGTTGTAGTATGAATTGCCCACAACACTATTATTACTATTGCGGTCATTAGGCAGAAGGTGTACATAACTTTTGCAAGAAATGGTATTATTTATTAGCGGCCTATAAAAAGATAGGCGACCTCGGGTTGAAAGTCCATAAAATGGACTAATCTCTCATGTGAGAACTATTTGTTTTTAGTTCTTCATTTAATACGATCTTGTACGCGCACAAGTGCTTGTGTATATAGTTGAATCGTTAAACTTTTGATCAGTCACACAATGCAAACAAACTTTGCTTTAAAATCAAACGAAGAACCTCACCATTGCGCGATTGTATCAATGCAATAGCTGTAACTCTCAATTTAATTATGTAGTAATGAGAAGGGAAAATTTATTTGTGAAGCACTTGTCAGCTGTTTGTAAAGCTATTTTAGTTGTGCTCTGGATTTGTTTACGTTAATTCGTTAACTTGAACGCATAGAAAAACGTTAAATTTAATGCTAATTATTTAATCAGTTTTATAAAAGAAAGCATTTATTATTCGGCACTTTTATAGTGAATTTGGTTTGCGAGCCGAAGATGTTGCTATCGTTTTATTATGACTTAATGTCGCAGCCCTCAAGAGCTCTGTACATAATACTCAAAGTAAGTGGGATACGATTTCGGGATTGTCCAGTTGCTCTAAGGAATGGTAATAATGATAAAACATAATTCCAAACGTACAACCTAAATACTGATATTGTCGTTCTATGTGTGTAGGTGAACATTTAACCGAAGATTATAAACGTGATATTAATCGTTTTCAGAAAGTACCTTGCATTATCGATGGCGATTTCAAATTAGCTGAAAGTGTAGCAATTTTAAGGTAAACAATGAACTTCAAATAAAGTTTTCATGTTTTTTTTTTTTTTTTTTTGAGAAATCTCCCTCCAGTTATGCTTTATGTTGGTGAAAAGAGAATGTGATCAAAATTAATTTCTGCTTTGTGTTTTTCACAGATATCTTAGCGCCAAAGGTAAAATACCTGAATATTTATATCCGAAATATTTTATTGAACAAGCACGCGTTGATGAGTTTCTTGAATGGCAGCATATAACATTACGGATTGGTTGCGCTATGTATTTCCGTCGCATTTGGTTGGACCCTTTATTAGGTGGTGAAAAACCATCTGAAGAGAAAATTGCAAAGTTGCGAGATCATATGGAAATGAATTTACATGTTATAGAGAGTACTTGGTTAGAAAATAAAGAATTTCTAACTGGTAACACTATGACCGTGGCAGATATATTTGCTGCTTGCGAAATCGAACAAACTCGTAAGCCTAACTTGTTAATTAAGGGTACTTTGTAAGTTATAGTTTTTTTTTTTTTTTTCCTTTTTTTTAATACATCCTTCAGGCATGGCTGATTATGATGTGCGTATTAAATATCCAAAAATTCGTAGTTGGTTGAAACGCGTTCGTGCCGCCTGTAATCCTCATTATGATTATGCCCATCAATTTGTATATAAAATTTCTGGTACAACACCAAATTCAAAATTATAAGAAGTATGACTAAGTTTAAGGAATCAACTTTAATAAAGGTAAACTGTTTTCGTTAGTGCAAGAAGCCTTATCTGAAAAACAACGTATATTGCTGAAAGAATATATATTGCAGGCGTTCTAGTTAATGGATATTTGCCATCTTGCAATCTTTCAATAGCTTCTTTATTAAATATCATAAATATATATAAATATGTGTGCTTTTTGGTTTTCTGTAGCCCAGTGATTGGAATACAGCAGGGAGTTTAAGAAAAAAAATTTTTGCCGATTTGACTCTGGTCTCTAGCGATGAACCCATTTTTCATCTTTTTGTGTTACCAAACAGAGCTCGAAGTTATCAACACGTTGTTGTCAAAAGTGAGCAAAAGTTTCTCATGGCTTCTCATGTCTTCTAATATCTTTGGAGTGTCAGATATATCGCGCAACTTCCCTGTGCGATCTTCCATACGATTTTATGCAATTTTTTATGCTTTCGGAAAGGAGTGCGAAAGTCGGGCAACTAGAGTATTCAGTATCATCGGTATCCATATGTCAATCGAAAGGAGTCGCGATAACATCATTCCGGTTGACGTTGTTACGAGTTGAACGTATTTTTTCTCATCAAAAAGCTATGCAGAATCAATATAAGAAATTCAGACTTTCTATATAATTTTGAAAATTACAAAATTCAAGTTGTAAACTAATGGTCGGAATGCCACAAAATTTTCACACGTATCGGTATTCAGAAAATCATATGAGTCTGTCAACACTGATGCCATACATGTGTTGGACAAAAGGCATATTAAGTGATGTGTTTGTTACATGTGCCGACTGCTAAATACGGACGCCGAAAACTGTCTAATCATTTCTCAGCTTATCTATTGTCTCTTTATATTATATATACATATATACATATATATATATTTACAAATACGAAAACTGTCTAATCATTTCTCAGCTTATCTATTGTCTCTTTATATTATATATACATAAATATATATATATATATATACAAATACGTACATATATAAAAACAGAGATTGATAATAGCTGGCACAGGCAACAAAACAAACCAATAAATAAAGAAAAGCTCAAGTATAAAAGAAACTGAATGCGATTTTGGGGTGTTCTCGAATCTTACATATCTACATATATTTTATGGCACAAATTTACTTAGTTATATATACATATATACATGTATATTCAAGTATATACCAAAGAATAATTTAATGATATCGCAGTAGTCAACAACTTGACAACTATAATAACTATGATATAAATATGTGGTTAACATTTTTTCCTTTTTCAAAGACATAAATGGATTTTTTTTAATTTTCTTGCAGCATTTGCATGTTGCCCAGCTATATCTGATCATATACCTGTGCATTATATTTTGCATGCCCAAATGAGATCACCTTCAATGAATAAATTATAATTTAAGGATTTTTATATAAAGCGTTGAAGTATGGCAGAAGTCTGCCAATGCTGACAATGCCTTGGCAAGGAATAGCCAAACAAATTGAATAAACCATTCAAAATCATATTCATATTCAATTATTCAGATAATAGAAAAATCGAATCTAAAATCTGAGTGCCACGTTTTAAAATACAGACCAAAAGGGAACTCTAACATCTAACATCTAATCACATCACAATTACTTTGGAGACGACTTTATATGTCCTGCAAGCAAATGCACTGCAAGTAAAAATATTACATTCGTATTTAACTCAATTGAGGATTTATTAGTGAGAATTTATTTATGCAGTAAACTGTAGATTGGTAATAGCAATATTTTGAAATTTTCGTTTCTTAAAAGTTTCATTCAATTTTTTAGCTGCGTTCCGACGTGTTTGAACATGAGCAACATTCATTTTCAAAGTTGATCTCTCCAGCCGAACTAAGAATACAATGCGTCAATCAGCTTACCCGTAAATGACAATTAATTTTTACAACTTTAAAAGCTTTTTACAGGCAGAGAAAGGATAAGCGCAAGCAAATATAGACTGAGGCATGTGCTACTCAAAAGCATACATACTCTACGAAATCTATGATATGGATTTCTAAACATTGCAAATGTGGGGAATTGAAAAATCTTCTCACGCTTCCTTAATAACTATGCAAGTGCAAAACGCAATTGTCTTATAATGAGTGATAGGCATCTGTTCCATCTTCCTTTTTATTAATGCTTGGGTACATGTTTGGGTAACATATCCTTTATATAATTTGAAATATCTTATGATTTTGTACATTAGAGCACGCAGAAGGACTTGCGATAGATCTACTTTTTATCCATTATTTATACCTACCCATGCGTATCTGTCTCTTTGGAAGTAATCGCTCAAAATTCTTCTTCTTCCAAATGCATTACTTTTATTGTTTATTTGAAGAAATCTACTGCGAAACCCCACGAAACGCGTCCAAAGGCTTATAGCGATGCTGCTCTATTATGTTCCAATTGTCGGTTATGATTTCAACGGTTTAAAGGTGGCGACACAAATTGACTGAAAACGTCGGTTTTTTCCACTTTTTGGAAGAGTTGTCTAGGATAAACTGTTGCAACTTGAATGGTAAGTTCTGCCGCACACAGCGTACTCACCAGACATGGCGCGTTCTGATTACCACTTGTTCACAACGGTGAAATATAGCTTGATTGACACGCGAGTCCGCGTAGTTGAAGTGCGAAAATGCGTCGGTACGTGGAACGTTGCCAAACCAATATAAATTCTTTCGACATGATATTGTCATGTTGCCAAAAATATTGTAAAATATTGTAAAAAATGATGGAAACTACTTTGACTTATATATATTGTGCCAATTTTCCACAATAAATGCCTTTTCCAAGTGAAAAAGTGATACAAATTTTTCCAACCATGTAATAATTGTTAACGAAATGAATTCGTAAAGATACTTCAATTTCCTTAACTTTGCTTGACAATAACAAACAATTATTCTATATTATGAACCTTTAGCATAAACAAGATACAAAGGCTAAATAATTTATTAACATTTTTTTTCGCATATAGACAAACAATAGGAAAGTTTGAGAAGAATTTCACAACCGCATCACTTACGACAAATTTGCACAAGAAAAAATTGGAATTGGACTTGGAATGGACCTAAACCTTTCCAAGGACACGCCTATACTACACAAACTTTTATTTTGAAAAATAGAAGAAATCAACTGCGTCCACTCCATATTATAGGATATGACAATTTTGTTTTTTTAGTTGTTACCTCTTTCGTTGGGGTAAACGGTGACGGGTGTAAAAGATTCGGTTACGACCGGGGTTTAATTGTCTTACTTGCTTATAATTAACTTAATAGAGTGGCAAAAGCAAACCATTTTCTAAACACACATATATGGAGTTTCGCTTATGCTTTATACGCGAAGCATTACTTCTTACGAATTCCTTACAACGCTTTTACCCTTTATGCCCCTATGAAAATAATACAACGAAATGCCTCAAAAGTACGCGAGGCAATTGAACTGGAAATAACATCTGCAAAAATTTCGCTATGGTATATATTGGAACATGAAAATCCTGGCTCTTGAAATAAGAGCACCCTGGGCACTATTGCGAAATTTAATCTTTCTTGGAAAATACTATAATTCCCAGAGATTCAATATTGACTTTAAGATTTTTATATGAGACAAGCAAAAAAAACACTTTCAACACAGCGTAATTCGATAAGTACTCGAACCGAAGACTTCCCCATTGATTCAGATGAGCACTACTCATTCCCATATATTCAATCTCTTAATTGAGTGGGAATCAATTTATACCATCACCATGTAGCATATCTTAAATTATTTTCATTTAAAATTATTTCATATAAAAAGAGAAAAGAAAGTACTTCCCTATGTACACACTCATAATAATTTTATTAAAAATTACAAAAAATTACTTCACCATTCGTAAATGTAGAAAATATTGCTAATGATTTATAATTATAAATTCCCTTATGATATATGTGTAGGGACAATTTATGTACCTATGTATGTTCGTGTGAATTAAATTTGTCTGCTAAGTAATAAAACTTTGGAATTTCGAACTTTGATAACGTGCGCGTTAAAACCACGTATCTATAATATATATATAAATATATATATATATATATATATATATATATATGTATATATACACATATATCGTTTAGTCAGACATAAAATATTATACTCACAAATATAAACTTTCCGTTGATAGTCCACAATCGACCTGCGAAAAGACACACTAACACATGGGTACCTAAGAAAAGGAACAAATTTCCATCTCGTCTCTTATTCAGTTTTCACTTTTACAAACACTATTCTCTTATTACTATTAAAATGTTTTCGAACTTGTGTACTGAAATGCATTAAACCTCTTAAAAACAGTTTCACCTACCCATACACGAGGGCATTTATCATTTCGTCACCATATTCCCCGTCTAAATAAGTTGAACTTTGATCGCCTTACGTGAAACCCTTTAAAACATGTTTTTCTATTGTTGTTTCGTTTAGCATTTCTGATTGTCGCCAATGCATGCACGCATAGCCACCTTTTCACACATCTATACATATAGGTGCCGGTAGCATTTAGTTTTGTTTCAAATTTCCAAAAAGCGGTCTATTAAGTTCGACAAGCGTGTGCCGCTTTTGAATAGCTATGCTACTTAAATCAGACGTCAATTTGAAGGTCAATTCGTTTCTTCTTCTTTAACTTTTTTTTAACTGACCAATCGCTCAGAAAATTTTTTCTACTCGTACAACACGATGACAACACGGTAAAAGAAGAAGCAGTAAAGAAGGGGAATGATATACGAAGAAGGCTGCAGCCTAGTGGGCCTGCGTGCGAAATCGGTGTTTTGCCTTTATCGAGTGACCACTAACTATAGCTACGACCAAAGTGAATTCTACCGCATTGAGATTTGGATCCGCGAATAATGACTGCTTAGTCGCGATTGCCACCTACTCGGTTAATCTTGCGCATTTACAGGTTAGTGGAGCTTCCATCAAAATCCTTCGATTACCGCAATAGTCCATACTGTCTACACATGTTAAAGCTGCAGCTGCAGCTTCTGTAAACCAAAATTTCTCGAATATTTCAATCAAAGTTTAGATGGGCGTCTTATCTTAGATTTCCGTCTATAGTTCTTGACTGTGGATAGCGTTTTGGAATCCATCCCACCCTGACTATAATATGTACGAATCACGCCGTCAATTTTCAATCCCTTATCGCAATTTTTGGGTTGTCTAGAGCCGCAAATACCGACAATCAACTGATATGAAATTTGTCTTAATCAAGACCAGATGTTTTTCATTGAACGAAAAATACTGTCACGAATGTAAAAAAAACTTAGCAAGCATTGCTTCAAATATATAGTAGGCGTAGCAACTTTTCACTGCAATTCACTTTGGTGCGATTCACTTTGGTGTTAATCAAATCAATTTAAAAGCATAGTAACCGTAGCAAGGAAAGTTCGGGAAAGTTCTTCAAACTAAAAAATTATGAAAAATTACTAAAAGCAATAGAAAAAATTAAAAGTTGAAAGTTTTAAAATTTATTAAATAAAAACTTTGCAAACAATAACTGAAATCAAAAATTTCGATTTGGAACAAAATATTGAATATTCTTATCATCTTCGTTCAGTATTGTGGACGAACGGAACGTATTGCTTACCAGACAATAAAAGACGAAGGAGTTTCTCATCAAGTCACAAAGGAAGATTAGAAAACTAAAGAAAATGAGGAGGAAGTCAACCAGGAAGAAACAAAAACACTTTAACGGAATTGCGGATAACCTCAAATAAGGCCGCATTCGAATTGGCCGCAATATTATTGAAAGATTCTAAGGCACCAATAGTCACTTGCCTCTCATCTCAGCTGTAATCAATTATCGCCTCGGAATTTTATACATCGAAGTAGACCGGCTTCATTTTCATAATTTCCACAAACATTTGAATTGCCTGCTACCCGTTTATAAGAACTTTGAGAGAATTTCATTGTTGTTGATAACAACGATGAAATATAACTTAAATGCTTGCCGGTGTATTTGTTGAAAATATTAGAGTGGAGCTCGGAACATTTGGAAGTTGCGGGGCGTTAGTGAAGAAGGTCTTTGATGAGCTTCAAGGTAACCGTTGTTGCCTTGGAATCTTATAATGGTATAACGGCTAATTTATGCGCTTGCCGAAGTTTGACAACTAAAAATTAGATGTATATATATATATATATATATATATATAAAAACAGCTTTCTGCAAGTCATTGTCTACGTTTTTCTTCATTTTATATGCAATAGCACTAGACACGAAAATGTATGACTATAATTTTTGGTTATTAATTTGATTAACGATAATAAAAGAATAACAATTCCAAAGCAGATTTTTTTATATATGATTCTTAGAACTACTTCAGTAAATTGTAGGAATTGTAAAGTTGTGTAAGTTATCTATCGCTTTGTTCTAGGCTTTTCTATAATGTTCTTGTTTCGGAGAAGCGTGACACGCAATTTCTGCTACCATATGTAGTTTTCGTCTCGTGCTTTATTTCTCAGAGTTGAAACATATTTTCTGCTTCCCGAGTTGCGGGCAAAGTTAACTCGATTGTGTTCGCAGTCAGCGACGAAATAATGCTTTCAGTTTTCGTTAACTTCGACCAAACGAACAGACGAGCAAATGAACAACGTCGGTCAAAGTAGTCAAGTCAATTTTAGTTGAGGCATAGCTGATGTATACTTCTTCTGGATGGTTATCAGATCTGTAATTTTTGTGTTCTGCGGTGAAAATAAGAATTGCATTAGGTGTAGTGTATTCAATAGTCGGCCTATCCGGCTCTAATGTTTTCACTTGTTTTTATCTAATATATATAGTAACACTTGAGATAACTTGGTTTTCTTCTTTCACGAATATTAGAGTATCCCATGTCTTACATAGGAGGGACCCAAGTGGAAATAAAACTTGGGACAGAGATGCGTTGAAGAGCTATGCATACTATATCAGAATCCATAGGATTGAAATCTGTCATTATTCAAAAAAAATGCAAATAGTTGATCATACCTTCCAAAGCATTCCTCGAATGGAACTTGAAGAGCAATGAAAATCAAAAATTCTTTTTATATCACAATTCGAGACATTTAATATTACTTGCGCGCCGCAAACGTATTATATTATATACACACGAATTTCGATTACTCTATTCAATTGTGAGAATGAGCACAAAAGATATGATATTCGGGGTAAAACAATTTTTTTTCATATATCTTGAAAACGTAAGCATCCTATTACTGAACTAACATTTCTAGTAACGTCAGTCACTAACAAATGGCAAGTCTGCGAAGATGCACTTAGCTTAATAAAGCATATCCAAAAAGTACTATACATATTTTACTTGACACACTCAAACACACCCGTAGTAAAGAACAATAGTTTTAGTCTCTATAATATAATGTGAAGTAAGGTAATGCAATAGAAAGTTTGTTAAATAAGCCCATGTAAGAGATGAGATGTTTAGAGAATTTTTTGCATTTTTTGTTTATTACGCGAGATTGGTGACTGGTTTCTGCTGTTGAAAAATACTTTACAATTTTGCTGTGAATGGTTGGAGAAGGGGGATTATACAATACCTATTAGCAAGTTGTCAATTTTCTTATATAATAGTGAAATAGTTATGTTGAAGCTGGCAAGCTCTGTACCCTATTAGATAGACTTAACGCTCTATAAATAGAAAATGTATGTATATTAAATATATATCTGGTATTTACAATTTGGCAAACGATATTCGAAATACGCCATTTGAAGCCACTGTAAGCTAAAAACTATATATGAGTTGGCGGGTTTTGACGTTGAAGTTCGAATAAGAATAATAGGAAATAAGGTAAGATCATTTCAATACTCTTAACAGAGTTTTGAATGGGTCGTCTTATAAGAGAATCAGAAAAATAATCTTTCCTTTTATTAAAATATTTGCAGTATTCGTGAAGAGCGATAGGAAAATGGATTTGCATATATTTGCTTCAAGTCGTTACTTAAAATCCAGTAATTTACGCAAGTCTTCACGAAGCTCAACGGATCGATAGTTAACTTCGATCAGGATCATCCTATAATATTCTCATCGCTTTACTCTACAACGTTCATATTCTGGCAAGCAACAACAACTACAATACGCAAGAGAAAGTGGACGGTTAAGATGATTCGGTTTTTCTTGTCATATTTACACTGTTACTTAATAATACTTAATAATATGTTTCTATATTCAAATGGCCAGGAATGGCTAACAACGTAACAGTAGTTTAGATAATTAATGTATTTTAAATAAAAAATTGAAATTTTTTTTCCAAAATATTTCCTGTTTTTAGAGAAGGCGTTCTTCCCAATCTACTATGGACATGGCCCAAATTTACAAATAAATTCTTCTGTAAGACTTGCAACTAGACTAGACCATGTCATAGCTTTATTAATAACAAGAATCGCACGGGAGCTTCCTTAAATTACACTTCTCCTCTAACCTATGCTATCTAATTTGGTAAATTAATTTAAACTCCCTAATATGTTTAAAAGGTGACTAACTAAACTCTCGAACAATAAAAGTAGAACAATTCTGAACAAAGCTTATTTACTTTTTAGTAAAGTACTATCACTACTCCAACTGCTTATCGTTAGAATTTGAAACCATCAATCTTTGTTTGCATAGCTGAATCATTAATTAAAATCGAAGAATCATATTTTGTTGAAATGATTATTATCCCCCTTAAAATCCTGCAATATTATTTGGAACACAATTTTATTAAACAGGGCTAAACAGTCTAAACATATCCCGTTCGAAACCAATTTCAAATTGCTTTGATAGAAGAACGTGTCAAGTCATCTTAAAGTCGTAATTAGGATGTAAATACTGCGTGGGAATATAGGGTCAGTTTAGCGTGTATATAACGCCTCCTTAAAAACTAGCTCTACGCGATGAAATTATTCGTGCAATTCATTCCCACGTAACTCAGCAATTTCTTAATGTAAATAAATCTAAATCTATTAAGATTTTTGGATTATATAATGATTTTATATAGCACGTACGGGGTACCCATAATTCGTTGAAAATCGGGCATAATTCTCAAATTAACACATGCATTTGTTTACGACTAAGCTCTTTTCAATTTAATTTGTATTAAGCTTGAAGCATGAAACTACACGCACTACTACTAGCCATTTAATCGTATAATTAATTAAATATATTATTATAAAAAACCTGTTTCTCGATTAATAGAAACAAATAGCTTGAAAAATAGATTTATTATCGACGTTTCATTTAAAAATGAACTCTAAAATGGATTACACGATGCCTTCGACGAAAATTACTACTAATTTTCTAACTGTCGATAATCCGGTATTTTGTTGTTTCCTTTTTTGGTCCAGTGTTTTGGTGATAAAAATGCTCTTAATGTCGGCAATAACAGGACTGCAACGCATTTTTTTTATGGTATAAAGCACTATCAATTAAATGTTAAGATTTATATATAATTTTTCCTTTCCAGATTTATATCAATCCAGAGGATTTAATCTTTAAGGACGTAGAATTAAAATACAATAATCCACGTATCGAAAGAGCCAGAAGGTAAATATGAATATGAAAATATGAATTACCTAAACATTTACACGTGGTTTTTCATTTATTTCAATATCTTTCAGAGCTCATCGCAATGATTTGGAGAATATTTTACCCTACTTTACGATGGCTTTACTCTATATATGTACAGATCCTAATCCTTCCATAGCATGTAATCTCTTCCGTATAGGATCCATAGCGCGCATCATTCATACACTGGTCTATGCTTTCCGTCCGGTACCACAACCATCGCGTTTCATAGCCTTTTTTATTATGTTTCTCATAACTCTTTATATGGCTTTCGATGTTGGTATGCAAACGTTAAAACATATATAAAATTCCTTTTTGTTTTTAAGGTTCTGTTTAATGGTGTTCGGTGTGGCTGTATAGATTAATAATAACAAAATAAAATATTTTTACAATAAATTAAGCGTTTTGTGAATTTATAAACTAGATAGACATAAGTAATAATTCTGGGTTCTTGTTATCACAAGGTAAACATTGAGAGAACCACATTTATACATTAAATCCCTGTGAACGCATACACTTTTTATGAGCCTCTATAAAGTCGCCACAATGCTCTTCACCGCGTTCAATAATACTTTGCAAATGAAATGTCGAAAAATCAATATTATTAAAGTTTTACTCGCTTTAATTTGAAAAAAAAAAAAACTTACCACTGATCACGAGCCTTTTTAGTTTCGGGACAAGCGCAGCAAGCTTTGCATTTTGGCTTTGCTGCCACGGACTCCGTACCGCTTACTGAGACTGCAGCTGCTTGTGCAACTTCTTTTACCGGAGCATTACCCATGTCCTGTGTATTAACTTTAGATTACTTGTTATTTCAATAGAGATTTCCAAACTTCGTAACGGAACGTTTCTGGTAAACGTGCATAGACTTAATTTTTCTCTTTATTTGTGAAAACCTAAAAAATTAATTTTTTGAATGTATTATTATTTATTTATATAATTTTCTATAAAAATCACATATATTTTAAGAATCTCACCTGATTGCGTTTTACTTGGAACGATATTCAAATGCACTTCACAGCACTTAAATCATTTTATCACTGACGGCAGAGAACTTAGCAGCCATGTAAAACCAAAAATTTTCGAAATATTACAAATTATATGACAATGGTAACACTGCACTGAGCAACAGCTACAGTTAATAATCTACGTAGAATATCTTGAAATTAGCAAACAATTACGTAAGTGGAATCAAATGCTATATCATACATTGAAACCGACCTTAACATTTATGTTTACTGATTCAATTTTAAACTCAAAATCGCGAGGAATATAGAGCGAGTTTTCAAGAAGTTGGAAGATTTTTGTTCACTCTAAATTCGAAATAAATGCGACCAGGTTCTACCATACAAAAACAAGAGTTTTTATTTTTGGGAAAATAAAAACATATGAACATTGGAAATGTTTGCATGTACATCAAATTAAGACGAAAGTTTATAAATTTTAGTCAGATATGCGTACGTTTCTATAGATCCTTTAAGTATATAATGTAGCTAGCTCTTTTGATTAAGCTTATCTTTAACGTGAAAGTCATATGAGGAAGAAAAAATGTTATATAGGTGAACTATTTATATATCTATGTTTACTCGAATCGAAGATTACTTTCTATTTTTATATTCTCCATTCAAAATGGCAAAACATTTGTAACTGTAAATGAAAGGAAGCTTCAGGGGGCTATATAGTATATATACTCTTAATATAGCCTTCTTGGGCCGTACAATGAAAAGACCATTATCGGTGAAAATAAACTTGAGTTGGTTTCTAGCTTTTACATATTTTTATCAACTAAGAAAATTAAAAGAATTTTACTTATCGTCACTGAACTTAAAGTGTTCGGTTTAACGCCATTTGAATCTCATTTTCTTTAGTTAATTTAAAACTACTCTGAAAAACTTCATGTAATCCTTGAGCTTATAAAATCATAAGATACCCGTATAACATTAAGTATAGTGTGCCTTGGATTCTATCTTTCAAGAGTTATCAAAAATTGTCGTTTAATCAATTTCATTTATATTAATTAGAAGAGCAATATCGACGGTATAAATCGAAAATTCGGTAAACGATCTGAAAAAGAGCTCGAAATATGGCAAAGGCGACGACCATTAAAGAGGCTTTAACAAGATGGGAAGAGCGCACAAAGCTAGATTCTACTAAGTCTACAGAAATTGGTTTACAATTTCAGTGGCCACCTATCGAAAAAATGGATGGTACATTAGCCACTTTACTTGACTGTCGAAAATTAAGTCTATCTTCAAATATGATAGAAAAGATTGCCGGCATTGGAAATTTAAAAAACTTACGTATACTGTGTTTGGCCCGCAATAATATTAAAGCATTATCGGGCATAGTAAGTGCAGAAAATGTTGCAATAAAGTAAAATTTTCATTTTCAAAATTTATTATAGGAACCTTTGTCTGACACCCTGGAAGAGTTATGGATTAGTTATAATATTATAGAGAAAATTAAACCAATTGAATCTATGAAAGCTTTAAAAGTCTTCTACGTTAGCAATAATTCAATTAAAGACTGGGCAGAATTCAGCAGAATGTCTGTACCGCCAAAATTGGAAGAAATAACATTTCTAGGTAATCCATTGTATGAATTAATGGATGAGGCAGCTTTCCGGTCGGAAGCAATTCGACGTTTGCCGAATATGAAAAAATTAGATGGTGAAACGGTTATTAGAGGAGATTAAAAGCGAAGAAATTTTATTTTATCACAAATTTTCATTATCAATAATGCTATTCATATATATTTCTTTTTATAAACTCTCAGTAAATCTTTTTTCAATTTTTCGTTTTGTTTTCGTTTTCTCCAATAGTATTTTTCTCAAGTTCCCTTTTCATTCTTCGCAGTAAATTTTGTGATATTAAGTCCATTTTAAAGTGTTGTACGTTAATGGCACTTCCATCCCAGTCTTTAAGCGCTTTAAATTTAACTGAATCGCAGAGATTCAGAAGTTCTGAAAAAAAGAGAGCTGTAGTTGATTTTATCTTGCCATAATAATAATTTTACTGATTATACCTATTCCACCTGTTCTATACTCGTCACTTTCCCTTTCGATAGTAGTTCGAATAACATCCTGTCGAGCGCAATGCTGTCTATTTCGGCTCTTGCTAATCGACTGTTTTAAGGAAATCTGTTCTAATTCTTCATCGAAACGTTTTAAGTATAAGTTTATTAATTGCTCAAATTCTTCAGGTGTTAAAGGCGTCTGTCTATCGCCCTCAATGCGTTCACGAAACCAATTCAATTTTTCGCCCAAAATGTTACTTTTGATGGCATGTCCAAGCCTTTGTTTATGTTTGTTATTTTGACGTCGAGCCTTCTTACTTAAAGCCTTAGTTTTACGACTATTGGGATGCTTACACTTTTGCAATTCCTTTTTTAAATTAACCTTTAATAAATTTAAAAAATACCTGTTAACATAAACGCACTCATTTCAAGTTTTATTAATTTACCATATTTGTTATGCCTTTTACACGTGTTGCCTTGGTTTTGTTTTCTTATTTTGTGTTAATATTGCCAGCAATGAAATTTTATAAAATTGTAAAATAGCAGATGACAATTGCTGCGAAATCGTGTTATATGGGAAAAATGATCAATAATAATAAAATAAATTATTTCAATACCAAATATTTCTTCTATAAAATCCGCTAAACACGTTCGTGACTGTGAATGCTACAGCATTCGTTTTCATTGCGATGCAAAATGACATAAATGCTACGAAAGCCAATTATTTTTCGTTTAATTAAACTATTGTAATTACCGATGCATTGATTAACTGATTCTTCACGTTTTTTCATATTATTTTATTTTTTCTCCGTGTATTTACAAAATTACTTAAAGATTATTTAAATTCGTAAATTTAAGTACACTTGAAAGAATGCAGATTCTCTCATTGTCCTTGTTTCTTTTTTTTTTTTCTTATGTGAATGCTATAATGGTCATCCCGGTAGAATAACTTCATTCATCTTCTAACTACTCTCAGAAAATGTATTCAATCACATATCGCAAATCACAATTAATTTTAAAATAAAATGACTGTAATTTTTTGCATCTCACTGAAATTTTTACTGCCCGCGAACGCGTTAATTAATATCTTCTTAAATTAATAACATCGATTAATAAATCCAATTGCTTTTTTAAGCACTTGTTGATATTAGTGCCGCACAGTAATTATAATAACTGTCCACACTTTCATAATTTCTGTAGACTCGATGCCGACCTTATGCAAAGTCCGTTGTTTGCAATTCCTAATAAAATAAGTTTGAAAAGTAATCGTGTCCCTTAGTTAAAGAGCTTCCCAATAAAAGATTTATCTAATGAAAAACTAATTGAGGTAAGAAACTTTGTGTGACCTTAACGGTTTTCAACATAGATATTAAATAATAAATAAATATAATAATAAATGCGTATTAGAAAACAAATTGAACATTGTAAAGTGTAGCATTAGTTTATAATTTATCCATATATCCTAATTATCTATGTAAGTCTCCTTAAGCAATTTTATTTCTATTGAAAATGAAGGTAGCGAATTTAAAATTCATTGCATACATCATCCCGTTAAAGCAGACACGTTTTCAATTACTTTTGTTGCTCTCAATCGCTCGCTTAATTAAACTATTTACGTCGACCGCTTAGTTGCTGGCGCATCAGTCGATCTGTTGGACACGTTTTGTTTTTGTTTTTTTTTGTTTTTTTTTAAGAAGTGCGGTGTAAAGGAAAAACTAAATCGACGATTTCTAAGATTAACAAATTAAAATTATTACAAGATTGATATTAACAAAATGTCGCATATCTTGAGAAGCTATAAGGCAGCTGCTTCATGTAAAAAATATCTGACAACACAATTCGACTATATTTTGAAAAATGTAATAATGATTATATTATGTGGTAATAAGATGTTATAGTTATTAATAAAAATAAAATGTGTAAGGTTTAAATAAACGAGAAGAAAAAAACAGAAATGTTACATAATTCTCATTATTCTCACAGATCTTGCGTTACTTGTCCTTAGAGCTGCCAACAGGTGTAGATCATTAAACGTTTGTGAACAAATGTGTTGCTACAAAGGCAATATAAAATATTATATTAATTTGGACAAGAGATGGCAGCTCTGCCTAAAATTGCGTTATATTTTGTTTCTCTCTCTCTCTCTCTCTCTCTGTATTATCCTTATTAAGAACGTAATTAATAAAGATGAATTGTATAGGCTGCGATGTATATGATGCATTGTATTTATTATTATTATTATTAATTTCGCCAGAGAAATAAATTCTAAGACTAAACTCTTAAAAGCATCTAAGGCTATCGGCTTTTATTAAAAACTCTACCGCCCTTGAGATTCGAACTCACGACCATTGACTTGCTAGTCGAGATTCCTCGCCTTCCCACACTCAGGCGGATAAAATTATTTAAAATTAGGTCTTTGCACCATATAAAGTTTCACTTTTCTTAGGAACGGTTGTATGGGAAGTGGTTTAAAAAATTGCCTCCTTCGACTCAAAGTTTTCATACCATTACAGAATTCCGAAGTATCATTAGTAGGCGATTGTAACTATCACTCGTTGTATGGATTTGAAGGAAAGGTCTTTTATTTTTTGGAAATTTGATGTCTGCGAACTATTATTATATCATCTTTTATTATAAGTAGCTCTCCCATGAAATTTTAAGTATTGGTTATATCTCTTTTTCCTTAGTTTACATTGTGTTTTATAATAATTGGATGTTTAGAAATAACATTTCATTCCATTTCATATTAGACTAACTTCCGAAGACTGCACTTAACATCTATATTGGATAAGAGAGTTGCTTTTAAACTCAGCGATATTGGAGAGGGAATACGTGAAGTAACTATTAAAGAATGGTAGGAACGGAATTGCACTGAAGGAGAATAAATTATTAATTTTACTTCAAAAAGGTTTGTCAAAGAAGGCGATGTTGTTAAACAGTTTGATAATTTATGCGAAGTACAGTCGGATAAAGCTTCTGTAACAATTACTAGTCGTTATGATGGGAAAATACTGCAATTACATCATAAAATTGATGATATGGCCAAGGTGGGTGAACCCTTATTAGATTTCGATGTGGAGGATGAAGATTCTGACGATGAGTCTTCCGAAACCTCGCCATCGGCAACTCAAACAATTACAAAGGATAATCCTAAAGTTCATATGGATTCAAGCCAAGTTGGGAGCCCTACCGAAGTCACGTCAGAAGAAATGACTCGCAATATTACATTGGCAACGCCGGCTGTACGACGCATAGCGCGAGAACATAAAGTGGACTTGTCCAAAGTCACAGCCACAGGCAAAGGTGGCCGCGTTCTGAAGGGTGATGTTTTAGAGCATTTGGGTATGATACCTGCGGGAACAACAGTTCCCCATCCAACTTTACTGTCTAAGCCGCAAGTTCCAGTGCCAGCGGATCGCATAGAGCAGTTGAAAGGAGTTCCTAGAGTTATGTTCAAAGCAATGACAGAATCTTTGGTGAGTGACCGTTGTTTATTATTAAAATATATATCAAAAAGATTGCTTTTGAATTTTTTGTTTTGCGAGCAGAAAATACCACATTTTGCCTACAGTGACGAAATAGAAATGACGCGCTTGATGCAGTTTCGCGATGAAATAAAAGGTATCGCAAAGGAGAACGGCATCTCGAATTTAACTTTTATGCCATTTTTCATTAAGGCTGCTTCTATTGCTTTGAAAAAGCACCCTATACTCAATAGTACACTTGATGTGGAAAAGGAACTAGTTATTTACAAAAGCGCTCACAACATAAGTGTTGCCATTGATACTCCCGCGGGTTTAGTTGTACCGAATGTTAAGAATTGCCAAAATAAAAACATTATCGAAATCGCTCAGGATTTAAATGACATCATTGACAAAGGCCGTAAGGGCCTTTTGGCACCAAGTGATTTTGCTGGTGGTACGTTTTCACTCTCGAATATCGGTGTAATAGGTGGCACTTACACGCATCCATGTATAATGGCTCCTCAAGTAGCTATTGGCGCCATGGGACGTACCAAGGTGAGTTGACATTGATTGCATAATGCCTTGTACCTTTCATTGAAAAACTGCAATTTTCTTACTTAGGTGGTACCCAGATTTAATGATAAAGATGAAGTCATCAAAGCTCATATTATGAGTGTAAGCTGGTGTGCTGACCATCGTGTTATCGATGGTGTAACTATGGCAAAATTTTCAAATATGTGGAAAAATTATTTAGAAAACCCTGCTTTATTTTTGTTGCATTAATATTTTAGATAAGCATTCAGCAAATCATTGAACTAATCTCAATTATGTAGAAGTTCCGTTTGAGGCTACTTTCTTCTGTGCATTTAATTATTTGTTATTTTATAAAGATCGTGCTATGGAAACGGATTTTTAAAAAGTAATTTCACTTTTTCTTGTTTTAAAACTTCCTGCGGCTGTTTTAGATGCATTTATGACAAAGTTTAATATTTAAGTTTGGTCGGGGAAGTCATTTTCTGTTTCATTGTGTATCAATCAGTCAAATACAAAAAAAAAAAGAGAAGAAAATTGTTTAAATTCTCATAAGCACTGTTTTTGTTTTTTAATTTAGGCCAATTATTTATGTTGTGAATACATATGTATATATTTGATATATTGTTGTATGCAATTTAGTTTTGTATTACATGCAATAATAAATTAATACGAAACTTATGTGCGGAATTATTATTGGTTTTCCTGCTTTCTGAAGCACATTACAACTTCCGGGTGTAGGAGTAATCTTTTGACTTCCATTATATGCTTGTCGGTTTTTCTTTGCTAATAATACATAATAAATAATAAAATAAGCTGAAAGGTAGTTTAAAGACGGGTTACTACTTTTTGCGGACACTGTTTCTTCTTTTTCTAAATTCTTAGCTGAACTGGATGGAAAACGCTTGCACAGATTTTTCATTGCGAGAACTTCTTTGGTTTTTCCTCTTGCCAAATATCGAATACATATTAGGAATATAGTCTATTGGGTTAGGGGATTGGCATATATACAGGGTAGGTCCATGTAAAGCATATTGTTGTTGTTATGATCAAATTATCTTTTTGCAGAAGTTATCGATGGCGCTATTTTATCTAAGGGAAATTCAAGAATCAATCAAAACCCGTTTCCTTTTTTTTAGTTTCATTCAGAAAGAACGGTTTTTTTTTATTAGGATAAAATATATGACATAACAACACACACGTTTAAAAATCAACAAATTTTCACCGAAATAACACGAACTGACAAACAGGTCTACAACGTTGATATACGATACCAATTAATAATATGTACACTTTATAGGGTCTCTGAAGATTCATTTTGCGTGTTGGAAACGTTTTGATAAAATGAATATGCCTTTCATCCTCCCGGGATGTGTATAAAAAGTCTCCCACGCTTTATAAATTTTTTGGCCAAAAGGAAGACTGGTTTACTAAGGTCAGAAGAACTGTCCTCTGCTGGACAAAAAGATTCGTATATATATTTACCGCAACCTACAATTTGAAAAGGACCTTGTGAATACTAAGCCACAGGCAGTTGCGACGATTTTCACTCCGCAAACCCGGTCAATTGGCCTTTTTTGTCGAGCAATAAGAGCAAAAACATATATAAAAAAATATTTTATATTCACATTTTAGGTTCAAATTGAAGAAAAGAAAATAGGAAAGAGGAAACGGGAATTATTGAATCTAACCTCAACAATAATCACTGAGAGAAAGTAAACAATAATCTTTGATCATTAATCATTAAGCCTAATATGAATGATTCGGGAAGAAACTTCTCACGTTAGTATTCCACTTTAGTACAATTGCCGCCAAATGATTAATGAAGACAAGATTACTTGGGTCAAAATTTCCCTCCAAGGAATGACCATAATTGTGTCAAGTTATCTGCGCGCTGTAATGAAAAGTAAAAGTGTGGTTCCCCATTTACTTATACCAAAAAGTAAACTAACAGTTCTGAAGCCAATTCGTATATTTCGATTTGAGCTGAGTGATGCCATTTTTTGGATGAAATTAATGAAGCAAGCGTAGACTTTGCTCGTCTGAAGAAAACTGAGTTGATTCGCGAACCATCCGAATATTTAATATGTGTTTTGTCGTATATCGGTTTGAATGTCCAAAGAACAAATCAGTCTTGATCTTGATATTCATGTGAATCTTGCGAAACTCTTTTGTATCCATTTTCCATATATATATTGTAGTTGAAGATTTGAGTACATACTCATTGATTCCATTTTATGCAACTTACATGAATGGTCTACGAAAATTTGCAATGAAAAGCTTGCGATATCGTTCAAGACAGAGTTTGAAGGCTTTATAATTCGTGTTATAAGAACAGATAAGGCGTTAAACTCTCCTCGCATTTCTACCATTTCTGAACATTTCTTGGAACTTATTGGTTAGTTGACTTTGTGAAACGCTACTACTGTATATATTGTGAGGGCCTCTCCGGCCCACATCACTTGGGCTCAGCGGCCCAATGAACATAAGAAATTTATAATACACTTGGTCGGTTGTAAGAATTCATACTTTATTCACTAACTCAAAATCGTACTTCCGCGAACGAGCCGTCGCTCTCAACATCACTCACTCAACTCCCTAGCTCAACTCACTAAACTGTTCTTCCCTACCCTATTCTTAATCTATTCTTATTCCCTATACTATTCTCTAGCTTACCCTCGAACTTATTCTCTAACCCATTCTCTAACTAATTTTCTAACTTAGTCCCTAACTTATTCTCTATCTTAAACTAGCACTCTCTCCACCCAGCAGTGACAGAGAAACCGTGAGGCCAAAACGAGGGATGACTTTGACTCCTCACAATATATATATTGTAAAGAAATAAGATGTTTACTGCAACCGCGTATTGTAGTGATAGAATGTGTTGCAGTAGTAACATTACGCTAACGTAATCACTAATTAATTGGGTCGCCTGGCATCGTACTGCATTTCGTAATGCAATGCAGTTGAAGTGCGATAAAATTTTTGTTTTTCTTTTTGCTACCGAATCATGCAAATTCAGCATAATTCTGTCGCACTTCAAAGTGAATGCATACGACGGTATGCGATCACACTACAATATGTATATATTGGTTTGGTGAAAAAGAAATCCATTATTTTTTCGGTAGATGGCTGCACTGATAGATTTCTCGTAAAGTATCGATCAAACAATTTCAGATTTATGCTCGTTGGAAAGGTGACATTTTACAGTAAAAAAAATTCTTTCGCTGTTTTTTGTTTGGTGCATTCAGTTGTGAGTTACAGCGTGTTAAAAATGGAAGTGAACAAAGAGAAAATTCGGTACATTTTACAGTTTTTCTTTGACAAAGGCGAAAATGCAAGCCAGGCGGCTAAAATTGTGAATGGTGTTTATGGTTCCGATACTGTAACAGCCAATTATGTGCAATTTTGGTTTCGTAGATTCCGTTCAGGAGTATTTGATGTTAAAGATGCACCTCGCATAGGTAGGCCGGTCATCGAAAATGTCGATAAAATCGGAGAAATGATCGAAGTTGATCGGCATGTTAGGAGTCGTAACATCGCCCAGGAGCTAAAAATCGACCATAAAACAGTTTTAAACCATTTACACAAACCTGGATTCAAAAAGAAGCTCGACGTTTGGGTGCCACACCAATTAATAGAAAAAAACATGATGGATCGAATTTCCATCTGCGAAGCTTTGGCCAATCGGAATGAGATAGATCCATTTCTTAAACAGATGGTGATTGGAGATGAGAAATGGATCACATACGATAACCCTGTGCGAAAACCATCGTGGTCAAAGAGCGGTGAAGCACCTCAAACGGCCAGGAAGGTTTTGCTATGCATTTGGTGGGACTGGAAGGGGATTATTTATTATGAGTTGCTTCCATATGGCCAAACGCTAAATTCTGATCTCTACTGTCAACAACTGGACCGTTTGAAGATAGCGATTGACCAGAAACGGGCAGAATTGGCCAACAGGAGAGGTGTCGTGTTCGACCAGAACAACGCTGGGCCACACACATCTACAGTGACTCGCCAGAAACTTCGGGAGCTTGGTTGGGAAGTTTTAATGCATCCGCCATACAGTCCGGACTTGGCACCAAGCGATTATCATCTTTTTCTTGCATTGCAAAATTTCTTTAATGATAAAAAATTGGAATCTAGGGAGGATTGTGAAAATCGACTACTAGAGTTTTTTGCAAATAGAGACCAGAACTTCTATGAGAGAGGCATTTTGAAGTTACCTTTAAAATGGCAACAAATCATACAACAAAACGGTGCATATTTAACCCAAATCGGACAATCCGAAGCATGTTAAATAAAGTCCTGAAGTTCATATAAAAATAATGGATTTCTTTTTCCCCAAACTAATATATATTCCTGACTTGAGTTCACTTTTAATCAATGGGAAATAGTAAAGGTAACTCATTATCAGATCGTCATTGGGTGGACAGAACACGAGCTAAATGAAAGCAAGAAAATGGACATCATTCTTTAATACATTCGAACTGCGTGCGAGATCTGATTCGTGATAAAAAAAAAAAAACATTAAAAAGTTCAATTGATAGGATATCTGCTGCCTGCTACTTAGCTGTAAGCGATTCAACAACTATGGAGTAAATTCTAAATCAATTTAAGCATGTGCTTCTGTCTGTCTATGCAATTTTCGTGGCAAACATACGCCTGAGTGCAAAAATAAAGCAATTGATTTCAAATTTGGCAGAAACATCGGAAGATCGTCCACGACAGTCTCGTATATAATGTGATCCAAGTTTATCGATGAGAATGCCTATAGCGTTATGGCTTATTATTCTCAACTCATAGTAGACGAAACTATAAAAATTTTGGCGTATATTCTACGGTACATGAATAAAAATGGGAAATATTGGGCGTGGCCATCCAATATTATAGTGTGTTCAAATTTTATTATTTTATTAAAACCTTCTTAACGCCCATAGACAAGTTTCAGCGAGCCTTGAGCGATTCTTGAATAGTGTGACTACTATATCCGTTTTGTTCGTCTATCCAGCTGTCCGTTTCGTCAGTATAAAAATGCTTGCACGCCGGTCGTATTGAATATGGTCTTAATCGAACAAAGGAGATACCTACAGCGCAACATAGAAAAATTGACTGCGCCTAACCAATATTGTAGAGCCTGAAAAGTTAGGTTTTACGTTTCTTTCTAGTAGTTCCTATAGTCTCTATAAAAGATTTTAAAAATAAAAAAAATCGCGAAGCTATTCAATGAATTCACAATTAAAATGACATTTGAACATTTTTTCAATGTAACGGATTATTCGACGAAGTTGTAATCATATGGAAAATTTTCTTCTTCTTCTGTGACTTAGCAAATTAACAAGAACACAAATATAGTGATCTCAAATATTGACTGAACTAAAAAGTATACTGTTTAATGGGGACGATTTTATTTACGCTAAAACTGTTGGTAAATAGCAATTCAAAACCAATTGAACCGTGTGCATGAACAGCGGATTATAAAAAGCAGGTAGCCTAAGCAATATAACAAATTACACACACGAACAATAAGTTCGTAGGATGAGATATTGACGCCGGTGCTATTGACGAACAAAAATCATTTTTAGACATCACTGAAAAGTCGCTTCAAACAAAATGTCGCAAAATGTCATGATCTTCCGACATTCGTTTACATGTTAGAGTTGTTTCAGTGCAGCTACTTTTGTAATTTTCCAAGCAATCGAAAAATCTTAAAGCCCCGTCCGCCTGTGCTGTTCAATGGGGAAAAATGGCGTTCAAACACAGCAACGACTTGACAAGCGTTATTTGGACTCTGCTCTATCGAGACAAGGGGTAACAGAAATTATTTTGCTAATTTTGAATGGGGCAATACAAACATCGAGAATGCTGAACGTTCTCGTTGTTGGAATTCGTTAGTTTTTACCGAAAACACAAGAAATGCACAAAATCGCTGATGATGAAAGACCGAAAAGTGAAGTTGACACCTTAATAACATCAGAAGGCAGTGTATTTGCTATTTTGTATGAAGAAACTCTGTTGGAAGTGGTCCTCGCCTTTGCTCACTTTTAATTGAAAGCAACAACACAAAATAAAGGAGACCTTTTCACACGATATATGGCAATGGATGTAACATGGATTCATTCCAGAGTCAAAACGGTAACAAGCGGTGTGGACAACAGCCAGTAAAACTCAACCAAAGCGTTCAAAAGCACAAAAATTGGCTGGGAAGACTATCGCGTCCGTATATTGGCTTGCGCATAGTATAATATTCACCGACATGTGGTCAGCAATGAATATTGCATAGTGCTATTATTATATATAGTTTGAAATGACGTAAACATAAAAAAAAATCGTCCTAGATCCTATGAACTTATTGAGTGTTGTATTATTAAAACTGGATCGGCTTGTAATAAAAATGAGTGGTCGACTAGAAATCTACCCAACGAGAAAGCAAGCTAGCATAATGTTCCCCTAGAGCAGGATTAAACGATAATTTGATATATATATTGCTAATAATCTAAAGAAAGAATGGCGCGTGGTGTCGAAGTACCGTGGCTCGCCGGCAACAATGATTGCAGCTAAGATTTTGAATAATGGAAACAAAAAACATTGACTATGGTGGTTGTGTGCAATCATTCGCCATCAACAAATTACGCCGGAATTTTGTACATCGTTCTTGGTCCTAAGTGCAATACATGGAACGTCGTCTTAATGTGTGTTTGTGTATTAATATACTTTATTTAATTTAATTGTTGCCTTTTTCTATTTATTTATTCAAATTTTTTTGACATATTTTAAAGCATATCGTCAGCAACATTATCACTCTCATCAATTACTGCATGACAATTGCAGCGAATAGCTGAACGCGTGCCATATTTTAATTACTGGATTTCAAATGTTCTTGAGCAGAGTAAGAGAGCAACACGATTGCATTGAGCAAGGATTTGGCAAACTGTGATGAGTTGGTGTAATCATTTTGGTAAGTGCTTTGCTGGTAAATATAAAGTGAACACTTGACGAGTAGGATTAAGGGGTAAGGCTATCTTATGGCCTAAAAAAATTAAAAAGAATTTTCTCGCACACACCACTTCTCTATATCTATCTTCATCTCTACATCTTTCTCTTTTGTCTCTTTTTTCTGACAGTCACCAGGGTACACGTACATGGTGCACCCCTGATGCATCCCCTGAATGATTTGTCATATTAAAACACTCCTTTGATAATGGTATTTATTGGTCTCTTTCTTGAAATGGATCCAGCTTTTTATTTTAATCCAGATAGTTTCATCAGGCTTTGGAAAGAACCTGTAATTTCATTTTCGTGGATTTTGGACTGGCCGTCGCCGCAGTGGCGGACTTAGTTTTCATAATGTTTTCGCATTGAAAACGTGAACCGATCATTTTAACCGGTCTGTATATATACGGTAGGTATATGACATATATGTTTATCAGAAAAATGGACCCGGGGGGATTTAAGTACTTTATAATATTATTAAATACATAAATTCAGAAAACTTCATAATATGATAAAATATTGAATGTAATTGAAAGAGAACATCGTGTAAACAATTGATACACACTGTCGGTATTTCTAGTGTCAATAGACCGTCGTACGGTAAATACTATAGAGTATAGTAGTAGTACCACATACAGTTCAGATCGTAATTTGAAATCTTATATGTATGTTATACATATATCGCTTGGCTGTTTTTAGAACATATTGAAATAATTGATTGTTTTCAAAATCAGGCGGTAAAGGAATTGAACGCTTGGAAGCATAAAATTTTTTATTTTTAATCATATAAATGTTAATAAGAGTGGAATAGAGTGAATAAGCAAAGGTGCGAATGGGTTAAAGCAGTGGAACAAGCATTGAACTCTTACACGTTGCTTTGAGGCAAATTTATTTATTTACTTTTTGAGCATATCGTGATTAACTTAAAGCGATGCAATTGCTACATCATTGTTGTTTTATTTTTTGATGTAACGTTAAAATTAAAAAACGTTTTTGACTTTCAAATTAAAAAAAAACGATAATGAATTCAAAATATTCTACAAAGCTTCGGATTAATTAAATCTGATGGGGAACTTTTTAAAAGTTATCATAATCGTCTCCCAAACATGCGCATTAGCGTAACGTGCACGTGTTTAACTTAGCCTACTGCTGTTAATGTTTGTAAACAAAATTTTGGAAAAAGCCGGAAATCAAAACAAAACATGCGCATTTCTAAAATTGTAAATCCAACAAGTGTTGGAACTCTTCCAATTTACAGAATATACTTCCAAATGTCATTCATTTAAGAACTTTTAACATATTTTTCAAACCTCGAAAAGCTTTGGAAATACCAACAAAATCCTTTAAAGCGTCTAATGGCATTTCAAGAAGACAGTTGCAGTTAAACTTCGGGCTCATTAAGACGTCTAAAAATAATTTGTAGCGGAAAAGTCGAAAAAAGCGACCAGAACCCATAATACATACTTTAATCAAACACTACTAATAGAGTTCATGTATGTAGTATGTAGCGGAGCAGAGAGAGAGAGAGTTGATTTTGTAGAGAGACGTATAGTATATGCATGGTTTAGAAAAATAGCATAGTGTATGTTTGTATGTGTATAGAAAAAAAAAAAGAAAAAGAAAAAAAGAAATCAGAAAATAGAAAAAAAAAAATAAAAATAAAAATAAATAAATAAGAATTCAAGTAATTTTATATAATGTTAGTAAAGTTAGGGAAAAAGAAGTTAAGATTATAGTAAAAATTATTCAACAGTAAAATTCTTAAATAAGTTAATGCTCGATGTAAAGCACAATAAATAAAATATGACTCAACTCGGAAATGAAAGGAATTGATTTGTAAGCAATAAACGGGTAAGTGTAAGTAATTCACTTAAAGAACATTTATAGAGGACAGTATTCGTATAACTAATCCTTTAGTAAGATATCTCTTTTTTTTTTTTTTTTTTTTTTTTTTTTTTTTTAAATTTTCAGTTCACAGAGAAAAAAAAAAAGGAGAAAAATTTTAACATCATTTATTAAGATGAGTTTTGTGTGTGTATACTTAGGTGTATACTTAGGAATTTTTCATATGTATTTTAACGATTTTTCCAGTGACCTTGTTGTATGTGTCTTATATGAATAATTGTGTGTACGTGCCTTGTATATATTTTAACAGTAGATATTCATTTAGCAGGGCCGTTAGTCTGCAACTGTGACTCTTGACTGATATTGTATTCATACACACGCTAATATATAATATCTATCAACTTTTTATGAAGTGTGTGTCTGACTGTATATATGCATATATATTTATATATATATACATATATAAGCGTGCATTAAGCTTAAGGCCTTGGTTTTGGTTAAATATCACCGTAATGGAATTAACACATGCATATGCCTATAAACATAGATACATACATATTCGGTGAAAGCATGTCACAATCAAAATATTCAAGAATCGAAATGAATTTAGAATAAATGAAGAAATGTTTAACTTTGTACTGAAAATCGTATCCATTTGATATACAATACATACATATACACACACAATGTATTATTAGTTAATAGAAAAACTCATTATCATAGGTATTTCATACGTCCATTCCTTGTAGGTTAATGATACAATTTTAAACATTCTTTGTTGCAATACATATACATAAATATATGCGCATTACTGATCAACAATCTAACGCGGTATGCACAATTTGTCAACTCATTAGCTATGTCTGAAATGCGGTCTCTTCGTTCTTGAAAATCTCCACACGGCTCAATTTGAATTGAAAAGCTAAAGCTTGACATCTATACATTTACATATTTAGTTCTATGACTTGTCATAATATGGTCCACTAGCAAATGCACATCGAAATAATTGAGAATAATATCATTTCGATATATCCCTATTCACAAGTCAGGAGAATAACAAATACCATCTGAAAGCACACGATAAAAGTGATTGAATCAAGCTCGTGAACGAATGGGCGAGACAAAGCAAAAAATCAATATATTTCTTTGATATATACTAACGTGTAAGATAAGACCTATATATAAAAGGGCAGTGTAAAACTTTTGAACAATCCAATGGCAACTTCACGATAGAAAAACATTATAGTCGGGCAAGGCCGACCATTAAATTGTCTAACGTAATTTTCATATATGAAAATATTAATACACATATTAAAACTTGGACTTTTCTGCTCTATAAAGGATCAATTTTCGTGAAAATCCGTTAAAATAGTGGGTGGGATCCAAAAAATAGGCCGAGATAGTTAATTTTTTTTATCTTAAATTACTATCATGATCTAATTTTCATCATGAAACATTAAAAATTAAAGCTTTTTGTCTCATAAACTTTTGATTTTCGTTATATGACAAGGGGTTCAAAAATTGCCCCAGCTCTCGTAAAGTTTTCATACCAATTTAAAATGCCGAAATATTACTACTTACAATTGCAATTATTTTTCCTCACAACACCTTCCCGAGAGGATGACGTTATATGGGAAGGGACCGAAAGAGTAGACCGATTCAAAGCATTTTCAATAGCGCTCGTCGTTGGGTCAAAACACGTCACTGTACCAAATTTCATCGAAATATGTCAAAAATAGTGATCTGTAGCTTGAACATAAATTTCCATGGGTAGACATCAGACGGACAGACGGACAGACAGGCTTAGATCAGTTAAGATTACGATTCTGAAACGATTGGTATAATAAAAGAAGGGTCTATCTTAAGCCCTTCTGCGTGTTACATACGTCGGCACTAACTTAGTATACCCTGTACCATAAGTGGTGTAGGGTGTTAAAACAGTGCTTTTCCTATAACTTTTATGCATTTGTTTGACGATATGTGAACATGTTTTACACCGTTAGAATAAATTCGGATTGAGTAAAGCAAACGGTGGTCGGGTGAGACAAGGTCCGGGCTGTGCGGGGGATGCACTAAAATTTCCAGCGGAGCTCTTTCAACTTTTTGCCAAATTATTAAATATTGTTTGAAGCAAACGATACCTTTCTTGTTGAACAATATTCTGAGTTGCTTATCTTAATTGCTCGCTTTATTGGCTTTAGTTACGGTCAGATTGGAGTCAAATACAAAGAATAGCCAGACTTTGCCATAGTTAATGCAGATCCATCCAGGTTGGATTACGATCTTTTTGCCACATTATTGGCGTTTGTAACCCACTTTTCATTGCCCTTTATCAATCTCCTCAATATTGGCACAAGCTCGTTTCGCTTTGAGTAGCAATCCCCAGATGGAGAGTCGATCACTTTATACCTAAATATCGAGCTTCCACTCTTACAAAAATGGGTCAAAGCTTTACTGATTTCAATAAAACATTTTCACACAAACCATCACGAACTTTTAAATTGCATTGGACGCTTTATCTCGTAGCTCGAAGTGACTTGGTAAAATATAGCGGCTGCCATTTTTCAAACTCGCACGCTTTAATAGGGTTCGTATTGTCGAAATTATACAACTTGAAAGCTATTTGTTGTGTTTGTTCATATTCAATGTATATAAAAGCGACGTCATACGCACGTAATCGATAAATTTTCGTTATAGTTAAGATAGCGTAGACACGTATTTTGTACGACAGAAATATTATGAAAGGTATATAATATTTAATTGAATGACGATGAACAGGGATTTACGAGATATCGTATATGTTTTCTAACGCATTTTGACAGTAACATGATTAGTATGTGGGACAGGTTAACACAGCAATGATTATGTGACTAGATTTTACCCTAGAACACTGCTAACATACGGTTACGTACCTAAAAGGTATCAATAATCGGTTATTATTTTGGGGTAATGGTTCGAAATTTGTGCAATGAAAATTAGGATGTCCAAGTGTGCTTACAGAAAGGGGCGTGATATACTTTACTATGGATGGTCGACCTGACATCGTAAGGACTAATACATGCTTGATTGCCCGAATTCCAACTATGGAAGGGACAAACCGTGAAGCGTTATTCATTAAATGCGGAAATGGTGATGTCTGTGACCTAATGGGATGTGAATGCAACGTTCAATAAATTTGATGACATTTTATAATTCGCAAATTCGTTGCTGAAGAGTACGTTATAATTAGGTGGAACATTTTGAAAAGTTGCAATTTTAAAAGAATTTCAAATAATTTCGTCGATCTCGACACGGTTTTTGGAAATCGCCCAAGTTCAAAATTTCATTGATAAACTTTAGTCCAGAATGCGAAAATAAGTTAAAAAGGCTTATTACTTTTTCCTATAGACGGCCAAAGATGGCTTAAAGAAAGCCATCTTTAACGCTCTCGAAAATCGTTTGCGACACCGGCGAAGATCGTTGCCTTGCTCGATCTAATGAAAAGAAAACAAATAGGAACATTATAGTCGGGCAACTGCAGTTATTAAATACCTTGCCGCACTGATAAAATATCAAAAATTATATATCGTTTTCATATAAAGGCATACTTTCATGGTAGGCCATGTGCCAAGTCGGGTCTAAAATTCCAAATTAATTTTTCTGCAAAATATCTATCTGTGCGATTGTCTGTCTATTTGCCTGCCCGTTTGATATCTCCCCTCCATTTTCAGTCACAATTTCTCAGATATTTTATCAGAACTTGGCACAATGATAGCGATTTGGTTGAAGGACTCAATCCTTTTGAAATTGCTTTGGATCCCTTTGGAAGGCTTTTACAACCAATCAAAAAAAAAAAAGCTATTTTGTCTAAACTGGGATTAAATGAATTAGTTTTTTTAACCTCGTCCCATAAAAACGCTGCCACAAACTGCAAGCCTTTAGACGGCGAAGACAGCTGAGTTTTAATATTTTAATAGGGCCAGCGTTCCTTGCGGGCGTACAATTGTCGTAGACTTGTTGCCAACAACAGAGCAACAATTTAAAAATGTTTAGTAAGGGGCTTACTTTTACTAATCCATGATATGAGCAGTCAGCATGACGGACCCTGAAAAGAAAGCCGGCACCGGGCTCTAATGGGATATGAAATAAAATATAATTGATAACATCTGGCACAACTTGTGCCTTAAACGTATCATCTTCCCAATATTATAGCAAAAGTCTTTTTTGCTTCTTTCCTGCTGACCTGTTTATTATTGGGCGAAGAACGTGTCCAAGCTTATGAAAAGATTGCTGCCAAATAGATTAGAGGAACAGTTTAGGAATCGAGATGGCTTGTTTAAGCTCCAGTTTGGCATAACCAAAAACAACTATTAACGCTATCGGGGAGGTGGTTGAAAAGGTACAAAGGACCAATGGAGCAACAGCATTCTGCTTTAGCATTAGATACCAGAAATAGTTTCAACATGACTGCTTGAGGGACTATTATAGAAACCTTACGTAGACGAAGGTTATTTTAAAGAGTATAATCAAAATGATAGACACCTGTTTGCAAGGCAAAATTGTGCAAGACGTTGGCATTAGAGCAGATAGAAATACGATGGAGCTATCACACGGTTTCATCTTCAGCATCGTCCTGTGAAATTTCATGTATAATGGGATAGTCAATATGAAGGCTTTAAGAAAAGTAAAATTGATTGGTTATGCCGATAACAGCGCCCTCAATATGGTTCAATATGCGTCAACATCTCTAACAGAGATCGTCGCCAATGTTAGCCTAAGTCGGATAAATAGGTGTCTATGTAAGTCTAAGCTAAAAGTTGCCACAAAAAAAGCGATCAGATATTGTTGACGGACGGAAGGATGTTCCAAGTGCTGATAGTGGAGACCGACAGGTGTGGCATTGAATTTAGTGTCAATTCAATATATCTTCACATACAATGAGATGTAAAATTAGCACTTGCTGTTCATTTAAAGAATGCCACGGACAAAACGTTGCGTACCGCCACTATCTTATGCATGTATACGCTAAACACGGACGTGTCAAAACAGACGAGGAAAAATATTGAATACTTCTTGACTGCTACCTGAATAACTTCACTTATCTTCTCTGATTCACGACAATAATAATCGAGATTTTTTTGATATTTTTAAAGTAGCGATCTCTTCTTACCACCATGGCGCTTCGTTTAAAATCGGCGATTGTTGCCTTCGATGGAGAAGGATTACGTGTCAAGCCAGTGTTAAGTTCGAACGATATTGTTTTCGAAAGAAAAGCGCCCGCAAGTGGGATTTTCTCAGGATCTGGAAAACCATCGTAGCTCGTAAACGAATGATTGAAATGTCATCAGATTTTGATAGACGCAACTCGAGCGTGTTCACTTTACTAAAAGTAATATGAATTTTTCGCTGGAGTCACTCTCAGGCATTATTGAACGATATATTTTGTATTTTTTGCATTGGTGCGCGTATAGGGGTATATGTGTGTGCCTGCATTTGTATATGGTATATAAGCGAAATTTTAGAAATACTTTGGTGCATCAGCAAATTTTCTATAAAATGCAAAAAAAAAAAAAAAGGTCCAAGATAACAATTTAGAAAATGCCAATGTTAACTTTTAATGCTCGTGAACATGTTCCATACATGTAAGATGCGAAAGGCTTGCATATATATTCTTTTATGTACTTTTTTGCTGTTTGTTTTCTCTCCTCTTAACTCATCTTTTACATAAATGCTATAAATTAAAATGTGTTAAAGTTAAGAAAAAGCAATTCATTGTAGATATTGTATGTCCTGCGGTAGAAATCGTCTCACAGTACTTGATGTCTTTCAACGATTGAATGAGTAGAAGAGTAAGGAGGAGAAAAAGGGAACGTGCTTTCAATTGCATGTTTTTCATAAGAATTCCTTCACAAGAATATTTCACATACAGACATTCTCACATACAGACGAGTATGTGCAAACACACAAACATATATATATATATATATATATATTCACATATATGTATGTATGTATAAGTAACATACTTTTTTTGCCAATGAATACACAGCTTTTGTGTAGGATAAAGAAAAGAATTTTTATAGTACAGACGGAGACATAGTATGAATAGGAAAAGAAAAAGAAAAAAAAAAAAAGAAGGGGAACAAAAAAAAAAATGCAAAAAGTGAATGAGTTAATGAAGAATGTTGTGCAAAAAAAATTTCTATAATCTTGTAGTCACTTTGTTGGCAACTGCATACACGTGTGCTTATTTATATGTTTCCCTGCGAACACATATATAATACATATGTATGTATATATGTATATATGTATGTATGTAATATAGATGTTTATAAGCGTCTACATATGTATATCCGAATCTGTTTGCATTGTTTTGAATGAAAAATTCCTCTTTAAAGAGAGTTGACTCTACTTGAAATGTTATTTACAATAAAATTTCTTGAAATTTCTTCTGTACTTTTTCATATTTTATCTCTCAATGCTTTCCAATTGTGTGAATTGAAACACAAAATCCAGTACATTGTCCTGTATCTAAGCATTCATTTGCATTTATATTATATTCTATATCCAATCCCTTCGGTTTCATTCTGTTGCTTTGTTTTGCTTTCGGCACTCACCTAAACGTAATTTTTAATATAAATGTTTTTCAATTTTCTATATATATATATATATATATATATATATATATATTTTTTTTTTTTGCACATTTTCTCCTCCACACTGCGGATATGGGCACACAAATCATACTCTATTTTCTTATATTTCTTGTCGTTGTTGTTGTTCTTGTTGTTGCTATTGTTGTGTAAGAAAAATTTTAAAATGAAAGTCCTATGACGTTTACAATCCTGTCAATGGCAAAATACCAATAACGAAGTGACAAATTAGTTTTATTTATACTCAATGATTTATATAACTGTGTACATGGTTACGTATTTTATGTTTTATGTATTTGTTTACTAGCTTCTTGTGTATATGTGATATTGTAGATGCATACATACATTTGCTATAAATTAAATTTTTCTTTATCCCTAAGAGATATTGTGAACTTTAATAAAATGACATTTTTCTGTTCGAGAAATCTTCTTAATCGAGACTATTTTTTGCAAAGCATATTTTTTTTTTTTTGTTTTTTTTTTTGCTTTATATCTAATAAGAACTGAGAACTTAAACATGAAAATTATTTCATATATTTTTTTTTTTTATATATTGATAATAAGCACTTCTGTAACTATCAAGTTATGCATTTATTCATTCATTCAGTTATTCATTTATACAGTCATTCAGTCATTCAGTCATTCAGTCAGTCATTCAGTCATTCATTCATCTCTTTTATTCATGCCTTTAGTTTAGTTAAAAAGCTATATAATATGTTCATAACTTTTACTCATTTCAATTGAAAAGTGAAACATGTCAAGGCTCTCCATATCATATCATACCATATCATACCATATCGTATCATATCGTATCATATCATATCATATCATATCATATCATATCATATCAAAGACACCAGAGGACGCCGAAGTTCATATACAAACTCACACATTTTTTCTTTACTTAACGCATATATATATATATATATATATATATAGATATGTATATATGCACGCGTTTATGCATTTGTTCAAACTGGTATGTTTTTTGTATGCAATCAAAATAATTATGAATGAATGCAGAAAACTCTTCTCTAACACAAAAAGATTTATTAACATTGTTACACATTTTATAACAGATATTAAAAAAAAAAATATATATATATATATTTGGTTTAAACTGTATACCATAATCTCTAAATTTTTGCATTTTTCTGTAACTTTTTTCATAATAGATATCGGAACTATACTCCATTTTCCCTACAAAATGCACAAATTCTAAATGGAGAACAATTGAGTTGTTACAGGTAATAAAATTTGCATAGATGACTTTCAAATTGAAAATTAAATCGACTTTATTTTATTATTACCTCTCGACAGTACATGCAAGCAATAAAATTTTTCATTTTAGAGAAAAAGTGAAAAATTTCAATTGGCTAACGGGCTGTTCTCAAACATCCCATAAATTATTTGCTAACATAAGAGAATAGCTACGAATTAGTTGCAAAACGCAATCGGAATACATATAACGGGTGGTGTCGAATCCTTCACTTTTAGAAAACGAATTCGCTATAATTACGATCAGCTGTTAATCAGAAGAAAACGAAAATTGATTTCTCTTGGTATTCATAGGAAAGGTGTAACGTCACCGTTACAGATGGTAGTGCTAGGTGGATGTGCTAGAGTAATAATATCCGAAGAGGTAATTAGGCATATATTTAAGGCTTAAAAAATGTATACAGTAAAAGTTCTTTATTCGTGGGGTATATGTGCCGCGAATACAAAAACCGTGAATGCGGATTGTTAATGGGATACCTATTGGAATCCTTTTATTATTATATATGTGCTTATTAGATCCGCGAATAAAAAAATTTATAGCCGTGAATATAGGAATTTTTTTAATCCGCGAATAGTGAAAACACGAATAAAGGAAGCGCGAATAAGGAGCTTTTACTGTATATTATTGAAAAATATTAAAAAATGGCAACACCACAATTATTCCGACGCGATATCTGCAATTTTAGACTATTACCAACTAAAAAAAAAATTGAAAAAATATTAATATATCATTTGATCGGCCTATAGTCTATAGCTAGAAAATATCATTTCAATAATATATCTCAAAAAAATTTGATCGCGAAGGATGAACATTGTGGAGCTTATGGTGCATCTCGTCCTGAAATTCAATTTCAATCATCATGTCATAGATAAGATTTTTTATTACAAAAAATATTTTATTAATTTTTGCCGTTAGTGGCGAAATCGAAAGCTGTAAAGGGACTGATTGACCTTCCTTATTAGTCCTTATTAGTTGACGGTTTTTTTACCAGAAAGTGGGGCTTTTGCCGCGTTTCTCACAGGTAGACAAGAAAACAAAAGAACAATTTTATAAATCTATAGCTGAATTCATATCATTCATTGCCATCAGAAACGTCATTCCAAGCTTTTGATTCCTTGACAGAGACTTTTTAGCCCATTCGTATGACTCTAAACCTGATATTCGTTTAACGGTCCGGTCAGCGAAGCTATATTAACGTATTTTTGTTCGAAAACACTTTTAAACGAGCATGAACACTTTCTAACGATATGTTTTCGCGTATTGGGAGGGCTAAGGGTGTCAACAGGTAAGACATTAGGGTGCGTCTTATTAGTCGCTATCCATTTAACACAGGTAGTCTGTTCGTTGTGTTTAGTTAAGAACATGAAATTTTATGAGAAAGAACTTCTGCTGGCTATGCGAGACATTGTATGGTCTTATGAAAACAGTAGGTCGGAGATATCAAATTCTTATAACCTGTAGCCGCTGTAAATTTGTGGGGAAATCAATCTTTTTTTTTTTTTTTTGTACCCATCAGCGAAGGACGTTTGCAACGCCCAGAAGGGAGTTTGAGAGACCCCGTAAAGTATATATATTCCTGATTAGCATAAAATTCTGAATCGATGTTGTGTAATGTCTGTTGCAAAAATGAAGTTATCGACTTTAAATTTGACAGAAATATCGGGAGTTTTTGCACGGAGGTTAGTATTGAAAATGGTCAAAATCGATCGAAAGACACGTCTACTACTTTCTCTACTTATGTAATGTACTTCCTATGTTGACTGTGGCAAGTACATAACATAATACTACTACTACTGGTACTACTACTACTACTGCTACTAATAAAAACGATAATAATAATAATAATAATGATAATAAGAGTATGAGACGCAATATATACGCATATGTACTGAACAAAAGAGAACCTGCAGACACATATGGTTATTGTATTATTTCATTTCCATTATGTGATGCTTAATAATTGCTTTATGTGTGCGTTTTTTTCTTTTGTTTTTGTTTTGTTTTTTTTTTTAATTAAATCATTACAATCTGTATTCCCTTAATAATTGGAAGAGATTAGTTAAAGCTTTTCACTGGTACTTTGTATCATTTCTTAGGAAAGTTTTTCGCAGCCTAGTTCCTAGTTCCTAGTTCAATGCCAATTGTTCTTTAACTTTTTAGCGCTACTTCTAGTTAAATAATTAATTATTTGTTATACGCATTTGAGTTTGCTATGAAACTGTAGTCCCATGCACGTATCATTTAAAATATTTAACAACTAATTAAAACGTTATTCGCGATAAGAGAAAGAAATTTTTCCTTTTTTTTATATCATTCCTGATATTACAAATTTGAAAAAGAATTGAATTACCATTAAGCGATCCAGGTAGAGAATTATTTTAGGCCGACTGTAACTAGAATTGCAAAATAATTTTTGGCGGAGATGTTAAATGGTTCATCGAGCCTTTTACTGGTCCTAGGAAAGAGCTACCTCGGCTTTTCGATGATATGACATTTTTATATTATTATTATTATTATTATAATTTTAGACTAATGAAATAAATTCTTAGATGAAAAAAAAAAAAAAGACATTGAGCACTAGCCACACTCTATCTATCTATCGGCTGTAATTTATAAAAGCACATTAGATATTGAGCCTATTAGTATATATTGTATTAATATTCTGTTCTGTAGCTGATTTTAAGATGTCGAGAGGATTGGTTGCTTCAAATGCAAAACTCCTAGCCAAGGAAAAGTTAAGGCAGTCACAGAGAATGTGCTTTATAGTACTCTCTTCAAGATCCATTGGTGACTTTCAATTATATGGCCAAGGCGAATTCTCGAAAATGTTTGGATCTTGATTTTCTAAACATTTCTCAGATATAAAGATGGAATTAATTGAGAGCTAATAGAAGAGTAGTGTTAGTATTAGTTTTATAGTCCGGTCTAAATGTTACTTTGACTGAATTACGTTCACTTTCAAACTGAGTCTACCGTCATCAAATGGGAAAATATATATCAACATTCAGCTACTTCAACTTTTGCGACCATTAATGGGCCAATAATAGAGGGACAGATGGCGGGACGAACGGCAGTACGGCGTCACCGAAGAAACCGAGAGGGCTTTTCTCTTGGAATAATATTTGCGATTAATACGAAGAGATAATTGTACCTTTTGTACGTATCTACAATATCATTAGCATTCCTGTAGTTTAATCTATGCCTACCCGCAGAATTTTTATCATAATCGTATGCAGACCCACTCTACAAATATCGTCTAGAAAGTTTGTTCTTCTTATTCTTATAGTAGTTAAGAACATCATTAAACTACCACTAGCGAAATAGCTGATGATAGAGAATTATGTAACGAAGATACTGTGGTATCTACATATCCAACAGCGACACCACGTCCAATATTAGTTGACAAAGACCACATTGACTGTTCATATGATATAAATGATTCCTCGAATTATAGGTAAAATATAAGGTGGACAACGTTTAGCAAGTATTTCCCGAAAAATTTGCAAAACACACATCCAGCGTACTACCATTACAATGACAATTTTGAACTCGATTGAGGAACGTTCAAGTTAGACGCAGCAAACTGAAAATTTCATTAGGACACCAAGTGATATGAGAAAAATTAAAGGCCCCCCCCCCCAAACATTTGGCATATTCGTAGATTTAGACGACTCAAAGGCGTCACGCATTAGAGCAGCATGTTTCATATACATAGATATGTCAGTATTTGGGGGAACAAATACGAATAAGTAATTAGCATACTCTTGGAAAGACTACTAAAATGGCAAATAAGACATGAGTCCCTGTTCGATCTAGTCTATCGTTTTTTAAAACATGAAAGTTGCATGGAAAAATCTCAGACTCTTGAAGGTCCGCTTACAGCTGTGCATGAAAATTTCGTATCAATTGAGTTAAGTAAGTAGAACGTATTTTAGAATTTTTGATAAATGGTAGCTAATGGGCTTAATGAGATGCTCAGTTTTATGTAGCTGGCTACGTTGCAGAGATTTTACTTCGCGATTTGTCCCTCGAAATGAATTCGTTAATTAATGCCTCATTTGGTGATAATGATAATTTATTCAACATAATCTCAAAATTGGCTGTAGATACTAGAATGTAAAAAGCGGGCTATAGCTCCAAGTTGAGCTGTTGACGACACTAATGCAGCTTAGGTTAGCTAATCGACCATTTTCCATCAAATGCCTTGCCTAGAGATAAATATAATCTTCCTAGATGGAACAGCTATTAAGGTCGCGATGTTTATAACGCGATTATCAGACGACAAAAGTGGAGAAATGCGGCAAAAAAAAGATCTCAAGCCTCTACTTGAATAAGTCAGAGGTAGAAACGAAGAGCTAAGAGGGGAGAAAACCTTTTATCTTTTTAAGGCCTATGGTTCGGCCATAGGGAGTAGAGTAGGGTATTTGGTAACAGCTGCAAGAGATAGATACGTATTTTCTGAAATTATTAGAAACCTAGAATAGGACAAGATATACTCTTCTTGTACACGATCATGAATGCTGAAATATGCATCATGCACTTTTAAATAATATAATCCAATATCGGATAGGTGGATCAAAAGGAAACATGATAATTCGTATGATATTAAAAATTATATATATATATATTTATATATATATTAAGATGTGATGTTTTTTGATTTTTTTTTTCTACTCTCATCTAGTATATGAGTTCTTATTTTTTTTATAGCAGTGACCTATTTAAAAGGAAGAGAAAAGATATCCAATATCTGAACGTAAAACTTTTTTTAATTCTTTAACGGTAAATCTGCATCTGATTAGGATAACCTTAAAGTTTTTAAATCAAACCGCATTAAAGAAAAGCTTTTTACTTTTCTGCCAATAAAATGTTAATTATTTTCCTTTTTACGTCTTTTAAATGCTCTTGTGACGACATCGCATTGTTTAATGCACTATCGCTGTTTGTTGACTTTATTTTTATTTTTTT